TGCAGACTCGGAATATCCCTGGGCTGCGGCGCCTCTTCCGCTCTCTCTTCCGCTCCAGGACCCATTTGCCCATGCTGGCGGCCCTGTACCTGCTCGCTCTTCACGTCCTGCTCTTCCTGTGCTTCACAGGCCACCTCTGAGCAGGAACAGCAGCCCTTCCTTGAGCCGCAGCCCTCTGTGATGCTGGGCCAGCACTCCCCATCCGCAGGGCAGCTTCGCCCACCGCCTTCTCCCCAAGTGCCCTGTGGGCAGCGCTGCCCGGCGCTTGATGCGTGCGCCGGCTGCTCGCTGTTGGGATGGGCAGCAGGCAGGGCTGTTGCCTGCTGTGTTTCCAGGACATCTCTCACTTCGTGCCGTGGTTTTAAATGGTTGAGCAGCACATCTTCGGAGCTGGGGTCCCTCCTGCTGACAATCACTGTATCTGTTCCTGTACCCGGAGGGAGCACCGCTCATTTTACAGAGCGTTTTTACCGCGGTAGGAATGAGTAAATTCTTCCTGAATTGCTGCAATTCTTCAGTGCTTCCAGGAAATGCCAGATCTTCATTCACCCTCATCCTGAGTCCGTTGAGCTCGGGGGGAAGCTCTGGAGCTGTGCACCAGGGAGGGAAGCTCCTTCCCTTCCTCACGTCTCCCGTTTGCTCCGTGGCTCAGCGCTGCTTGAGATGCACATCCTAAAGAAACTGTGACACTTTAAGGAATGTGAACTTCACATTTCCTGCTCAGTTACATCTACGGTTGAAGTAGGGCCAAAATGAGTACATCTGGACCTGCTGAGCACTGCGTTTAAAGACAGCTGTATGTCTGCTCTGACAGCCTTGTAAAATAGCTTCAGAAATGTAATTATTGAATATGAGGCAAGAGCTTTTTATCTCTCACTTCTCGCTTACTGAAGTGCTCTCAAAAGGAGAGCAGCTGTGCTCCCGCTGCGCCAGCTTAAACCCATATGGGCTGTGTTGGAGGGTTCCATCGTGTGGTTCCAGCACAGGGGCCAGAGTCAGAGGCAGAAGATCCTGAACTGAAAGGGTTCCCCCAGCGCTGGGGAAGGGAAAGGAGTTCTGGGCCTTTGGTGTCACTGCTTATAGAGAAATTGTGCAGCGCTGGCGCTGGGCCCTGGGCTGTTCTGACTCTGAGGTAAACTGTGGATGGATTTGATCGTATGGGATGCGTGGGAAGCTGTGCTTTCCTATAGAACTCCTTGCACTGTCGTAGAATGGGGACGGTCCTCTTCCAAAGGGAGAATGTTGAATGCAGGGCTGGTTGAGCTGAGCTTCCTGCTGTTGGCTACAAGCTGCGTTGCGCTCAGGTCCCTGCAGGGAGGGTCCTGGCTGCTTCGTGGCGCAGCGCTCAGCTTGCATTTCCCACCTGGGAAGGAGGGGTTCTGATGCTGCTGGTAACCCAGCAGTGCCCAGCTGCTGCAGAGCCTCTTTGAAGGTGGGTTGAATTCATCACTGTACCTGAAACAACGGGATCTCTGGCGGTGTGGGCACTGCATCTCCCTTTGTGTTCCACCTGATGATCTCTCTGACTTTCTCAGCTGCGTCTGTGACCAAAAACTTTGCCTATATCTTCCTGGGGCGCGTGCTCCTGTATATAATAAAGGTTATTTTTCAGATGAAAGCTGCGTTGTGTCCCCATGTGAGCATCAGGTCTCCACAGCCCTCTGTGTGCATTTGCTTATGTGTTCATTCCTTCAGCTCTGTTTCTTCTGATTGAATGCCCACACAGAGGCCCTTTCCCCTCTCACCTTTTGGCATCTTCAGCTTCTGGCTGCCATGACCAAAAAAGTTAAGAATGCTGTGGTTTAAAAAGCAGCTCCAATAAATCCAAAGGTCTGTTGGGTTTTGCTTTTATTTACTCTCAGGTGTAACCCAACCCTGCACTGGAGTTGTACAACCCACAGGGAAGACGTGGTGGTTGGTGCCCGTGGGCTGGAATCACAGAGTCACACAAACACCAAGGGCAGAAATGACTGCAGGGTCACCCAGTCCAACCATCCAGCCACCCCCAATAGCTCTCACTAAATCATATCCCTCAATTGTGCTGCTGCCTGGGGTGGGACGTGCAGCGCCATCCTCCTCCATCCTTCATAGCCAAAGAAGACTCTTCATGTTCACTGCTACAATCTGACAACGCCATTGGAACAGAAGTTAATTATAGGGTGCTGCAAGAACGATGGCCCCGCTGCATTTAATGGGTGTCAGAACTACAGGTAAGGTAAGTTTCCTTAGAGCCTGTGGTGTGAGTTTTCTTCAGAGGACTCAAATTCAGGGCCTGCCCATCCACACAGCTGAAATGAGACCGTTTGGGTGAACTGGATTTGTTAAAGACGTGGCATCCATACGGAACGGTTCAAGCTTGGATTAAATAAATGAACAAGAAGCTTCGAAGGAGCTCCTGCTCCGATGTCACAGCATGGCCAACAGCTCTGATGGAAGCCGTGGGACTTCAGCTGATGGTTTCTGCTTCAAACATCTCAACCTTTTGCATCCTCTGGTGTGGGCACTGCAGCCCTGCCTGCCTAATCTGCAGGAAGCATCAGGCCGGGCCGCACAGAGCTGAGTGCTCCAGGAGCCCTTCTTTGCATCACTTGACTCATTCTGAAAGGAGGTCGATTTGGTTTCAGAAGTTCACTTGGTGCAGAAGTGGTTTGTGCCTGTTCCACAATTGGGCATTTCCAGCAGTGAGCAGCGAAGGGAGAGTTTGTGTGAACACGCTTAGGGCTCTTCACCTGGATCCTTCCTGTATTCCTACCTCAGGTTATCTGTGGATTATACATCCATATCCATGCAGACATGTGGGTATATGGATACGTAATGCATATGTTTGGGTTTTGAATTGTGCTGAGCCCGGCATTGCACTGACACTGCAACCAGCAGGTTTGCAGCTCTCTTTTTTTGGGATCTCTGGCCATGGGGGTTCAGGCACCTCTCGGCAGGAGCCCAGCTGGAATCACCATTGGTTTTGGCACAATCCACGTCATCGTGCCCTGCTGAGCCCTACGCACCGACGGAGCACTTTGTGCAGCGTTCACCTCATCGGAGTGCAGGGAACTGCTGCGTTGGGGGCTGGGGGAGGAAGTGCAGAAAACAGGAACCCAGTGCAGCCCTGAGGCTGCTGTGAGCAGCAGTGCTGCACCGGAGGACTGTGAACCCACCAACGGAAGAGGGGGAAAGGTGAGGATACTGGGGGGTCCTGGGGGTGGGGAGTGGGCAGCAGCAGTGGCAGAAGTGCTTTGGTGGGCAAAGAGAGCCACTTCCTGGGCTTCCAGTCAACTTCCAGTTGATGGCACTCAGCATTTACTGCTGGTTGGTTCTTCACTTATCGTTGGGTTTGGTTTTTTTTGCATTTGAGGCTCTGAAGAACCATTTTTCCCAGCCATCTGCTTTTTGGGAAGGATGAGAGCAATGCTGCACTGACCATCTGCTTTGGGGGAATCACAGAATCACCAAGGTTGAGAATGTCCAAGATCACGCAGTCCAACCGGAGGAAGGGGGGGGAAGGATGATGGTGGGGGAAGGACGGGGCCGATCCCCGTGGCTACGGTTGTGGCTGTGGTTTGTTCCCAGGATGTGTGGTGGGAGGTGCTGGGGAGGAGGTGGTCTGGAGTCACCCGGAGCAGCAGGCAGACCCCAGAGCTCCAGGTTGGAGTTGAGGTGGCTGCCCAACGGCTGCCCTCGGCTGGAAGCCCTGTGCTGGGTTGTTGTTGCTGCTCTACGTACAAATGAGCCATAGAAGAGTTTGGAGTGAGAGATGGTAAAAGGTGAGGACAGAGAAGAGATGGAAGGCGCTGTTGGGTTGTTCCTCTTCGTCTGCACCCACCTTCCTGCTTCCTCTGCTCATCATTATCACAGTAGCATTGAATCAGAGGATGCCTTTGGTTGGAAGGGGACCTTAAACACGATGTGTTCCAACCCCTCTGCCCTGGGCTGAATCCTCCCAGCTTGGGCTGCCCAGAGCCCCATCCACAGCCATGGGCACCTGCAGGGATGGGGCACCCGCAGCTCTGGGCAGCAGTGCTGGGATGATTTATTGGCTGTGCTCTGCAGTAGGGCTACTGCCATACAGAGCTGTGCTTCCATCATTACCACTACTACTATCATTGCTGTTGTCATTATTTTAACTCCTGGGGGTCAGATCCTTGCAGTAAAATCTCCCTCGGTCCTCCACCCTCAGCTTTCTGCCTGGCTCCTTTCAACCACAAACTCCATCCCTGCTCTTTCTGTTCCTTCCTCCCCAGCCCCTCGTTAACTCTGTGCAATGAGCAGCGCTGCAGGTCCCCCCGCTGCTGGGATGGCAGCTCCCAGCTCAGCACCTTGCACTGTTAGCAGCTGCCCTGCGCACAGCGAATCAGCGAATCGAGGATCCCTACAAAGCCGCCCCCATCCCTCCCGTCAGGTTTCCCCTGGTTGATGTGATGTTCGTGGCAGTGTGAGGCACGGCACTGCAGTTCTTCTCTCTGCCCCATTGCAAAGCTGCGTTGGGCCGTGGCAAAAGCAGCCCCAACATCGCCTGCCCCACGCAACCGGACTTCCTTCCGCTGCTCTGCAGGCGAAGGGAGGGAGGTTTTTTTTGTCTTTTTTTCAGAGTCATCCTGAAAGTGAAATGCAGGAGCTGGAGATTTCGCACTATTTTTGTTCCCTGGGCCTTTTGCCTCCTCCAGGCTCCTGTGCTTTGCTCCGAAAGCAATGCCTGTTTATTTCCATGGAAGCACGGAGGCGAAGAGCACAACAATGCCAATTGATAGAGCGAATTCTCAGCTACCAAGCACTCTTCTTCAACACAGGCACTCCCATTCGCCGTGCATTTTCACCAGCGATGAACAAGAGCCCATGGGCCACGCTTGTACAAAATCTGCACCAGTGGAGCTGACCCGTGTTACACAGCTGCTGTGATGGCTTCGTTGTTAGGCTGCAGGGGCTTTATGATGTAGATGTCCCTGTTCAGTGTGGGGTGTGGGACCAGATGTCTCCCCTCACTGTGGTCCTGCCCCACACCCTGTGGTCCTGACGACGCCGTGTTCCACCCCACAGATGTGGAAGGCGGTCGTGGGCCACGACGTGTCGGTGAAGGTGGAGGCACAGAGTGATGACTGGGACACCGACCCCGACTTTGTGGTGAGTGCCTGCAGGGGGGTCAGCGTGGAGGGGTGGCATCTTCTGCTTGGCACAGATGTGTTTTTAGTTTTGCATTAGGGGACAGTTTGTAGAACCACGGAATGGTTTGTGTTGAAAGGGACCTTCATAGGATCACATAATGGTTTGGCTTGGAAGGGACCTTCATGCAATCACAAAATGGTTTGGGTTGGATTTGGAAGTGACCTTCATAGAACTACAGAATGGGTTGAGTTGTAGGGGACATTCATAGAATCATAGAATGGTTTGGATTGGAAGGGAACTGCATCGAACTGCAGAATGGTTTGGGTTGGAGGGGACTTCGTAGGATCATGGAATGGTTTGGGTTGGAAGAGACCTTCTTAGAACTGTAGAATGATTTGATTTGCAGACCTTCATAAGATAATGAAACCTTCATAGGTTTGGTTTGGAAGGGACCTTCTTAGAACTATAGAATGATTTGGAGACCTTCGTAGGATTATGGAGTAGTTTGGATTGGAAGGGACCTCTATAAGATCATAGAATGGTTTTGGTTGGAAGGGATCTTCATAGAATCATAGAGTGACTTGGGTTGGAAGAGACCTTCTTAGACCTGTAGAATGGTTTGAGTTAGAGATTTTCATAGGAATGGTTGGGGTTGGGAGGGACCTTCATAGAGCCACAGAATGGTTTGTGTTGGAGGGGACCTTCAAAGGATCATGGAATGGTTTGGGCTGGAAGGGACCTTCAAAGAATCATGGAATGGTTTGTGTTGGAAGGGACCTTCAAAGAATCATGGAATGGTTTGTGTTGGAAGGGACCTTCAAAGGATCATGGAATGGTTTGTGTTGGAGGGGACCTTCAAAGGATCATGGAATGGTTTGGGGTGGAAGGGACCTTCAAAGGATCATGGAATGGTTTGGGGTGGAAGGGACCTTCAAAGGATCATGGAATGGTTTGGGGTGGAAGGGACCTTCAAAGGATCATGGAATGGTTTGGGCTGGAAGGGATGTTCATAGCATCACAGAGTAGCTTGGTGCCACTCTCTGCCATGAGCAGAAACACCCACAACTCCATCAGGCTCTCTGAGCATCCCGTGCAGTTCCTCACCACCCTCAGCGAGCAGACCTCACTCCCTACATCCAACGATTCATCCATAGCGCAGCACCCATCTGCCCACCCCCACCCCTCCCCTCCAGTCCCCGCGGTGCCGTCGGGGCTCTCCGGGCTCCGGGCGGTGCTGACGGGGGCGCTTCGCTCCGCAGAACGACATCTCCGAAAAGGAGCAGCGATGGGGGGCGAAGAGCATCGCGGGCTCCGGGCGGGCCGAGCACATCGAGTGAGTGCGGAGGGAAGGGGAGGGGGCTACGGGGGGGGGGGGGGGGGGAGGCGGGGCTGCAGGACCCCGCAGCGCAGCTACGCTCCCCGCCCCGCAGCATCCATCAGCTGAGGAGCAGAGTGTCGGAGGAGCACGAGGTCATCAAGAAGAAGGAGCTGGAGAGCGGCCCGAAGGCCTCGTACGGCTACGGGGGCAAATTTGGGACGGAGCGGGACCGAATGGACAAGGTAACGGCGTTGAAGGAACCCCTGGGCTCCGTGGAAATGTCCGTTTTCTGTCCCTGTTTTCTGCCTCAGCCCTGAAGGAAGGGCGTTCCAAACACACGTGGCAGCCCATAGGCTGTCTCCAAAACGTGCTTGAACCCATCCATGCAATTTGTCCCTGCTGAGTCCTTGCAGCACTCCCCTCATGGAGCTCTGTGCTGCTAACAGCTCAGTCGGGTGCCTCCGTACTGGCTTTGGAGAAACAGTGAATAACGATCCCACCCCCTCACAGCACAAACTTCTTCCTCAAGGTCAGACAGACTGTGAGGCTCCATTCTGTGCCTGCTGCCCCTCATCCAGGCGCTGGGCACCACCAAACAGAGCCCAGCCCCATCCCGCTGACCCCCGCCAGTCACACGGCTCAGATCTCCTCTCTCCTCTTCTCCAGGCGCGCAGCCCCGGGGCTCTCAGCCCGTCCCCATCAGGAGGTGCTCTGTGCCCCCCCCATCTCTGCACTTTTGCGGGGCTCTTCAAGCGGTTCCCATTCTGCCCTGAGCCTCACGCTGGTTGCAGGGCTGCAGCTGTGCTCCCCCAGCGCAGAGCAGAGGGGAGGAGCAGCTCCGTGCCTTTATATGCAATGCACTCCAGGCTCCCGTTGGCCTTCTGGGACACTGCTGGCTCATAACTGGTCAACAGTTGCTCAAACACTGATCAGTCAGGACCCCCAGGTCACCCCCCGCTCATTCTGGCAGCAGAGCAGAGCAGCCCCCATCCGTCCCATTGCTCCGAGCTCACACCCTTCCTCCTCTCTCCTCAGTGTGCCGTGGGCCACGAGTACGTCGCCGATGTCGGGAAGCATTCCTCACAAACTGATGCGGCTCAGGGCTTCGGGGGGAAGTACGGCGTGCAGCGGGACCGAGCCGACAAGGTGCGCTGGGCAGAGCAGAGAGGGACGCGGCTGGGGCCCGTGCTGCATTGCGATTACTGATGCAGTTTGCAGTGCGCTGACGCGTGCAGGGCTGGGCGTGCTGTGCACCACGCTGCGACGTGCAGCTCAGCTCCTGTGTGCAGGGCGAGAGCCGATAGCTTGCAGCACACGTGGCCGTGAGCTCCGCACCGACGTCTGTGCGCTGTGCCCTGCAGGCAGGGCCGTGTTTGCGTCCCGCCTACCGCTGCTGAGGGAGCTGCAGTGGCTCTTGTTTGCAGCCCAAGTGCTTTCTGTGTGCATGCATGGCATGCTGCCTCCATCCCATGCACGTCAGCTCCTGCTCAGGAGTGTGTCATGCACCCCTGGGCATGGCCATGCATCCTTGGGTACAGTCATGTGTCCCCAGGGCTGCTGGTCCCCGTCTCTGTGTTGCTTTCTATGTGCATGCATGGCATGCTGCCTCCATCCCATGCACGTCAGCTCCTGCTCAGGTGCTTTCTATATGCATGCATGGCATGCTGCCTCCATCCCTGGGGTCAGACCCCACTGCTGGTGGGACTCAACACCCAGCACATCTCCATTCCTCCCTTTGTTTTCCAGTCAGCGCTGGGGTTTGAATACAAGGGTGAAGTGGAGAAGCATTCATCCCAGAAAGGCAAGTCCATGGCACACTCAGGCCTCGGTACTCTGCAGTGCCCTCCTGCTCCCAGCACCCCATGCTGGCTGCTGCTCACAGCTCTGTTATCCCAATTCTGCCACTCGGTGCAGATCCCCATTCCCAATAGCTCACCCTGCTGCCCTGTCCTGTCCTGCTCTGTCCATCCCTATCACTGCTCTCTTTTGCTTTGCTGGAAACTCCTGGCTGAGCAGAGAGGACCCCCCAGCCCCAAACTGCTGATGGGTGAGCGGTGCTCCCTCCTGATCCTCTAAAAGTCCCTCTGAGGAGCTGCTCTGTGCAGAACGCAGCACTGAGGGATATGAGAAGTGATTACACACACACACAAATATATATATATATATAAGGAAAAAGCACAGCAATGGATATGGCAACAAAAGGCTCCACTGCACCCAAACCTGTGCAGAACTCTGCAAACTTAGAGGTGTGCAGAGGAGCAGCTGCATTCAGAGGGAATGCTGCAAGATCTGAAGCCAAAGGTGGAATATTCTGCAGCCAAGAGAAGGTCAGAGGGCAAAACCCCTCATTGTGCTTCAGGCCAATGTGAGAAGAGCATCACTGCAGGGGAAAAAAGCTTGGTGCTGTGTTCTTTTCGGAGGAAACTGCAAAAGAGTGAAGAAGTTTTGAGGCATTTGTAGTTGGTATAAAGAGCCAGAGGCAGTCGTGACACCACAGCACGTTCTGCATAGGAAGTCAGTTGTAGACGTGGGACTTCAGGCTGTGTGGAAGCACAGAAATACCTTGGAGCAAAACAAAGATGTAAGAGGTAAGGAAAGAAGTTGCAGCAGACGCCCACATCCCTGCAGTGTTTGGTCCTAGTGATGATGTCCCTGTGCTGGAGCCTTTAGTGCTGAGGTAACAGCTGGAAAAGCTCCATCTGCTGGAAGCAGCACCTGGGGTGTTTGTTTTGTGATGCACTCCCCCTCTTCAAGTGGGATATGGTGATGGGGGGCTGTGAAGGGATCCCTATGGAGCCGGTGGGCAGGACAGGGGCTGAGATTTTGGAGGATGGTGGCCTCCAAAAGGGAGGATGATGCTTGGAGGATAAATGAGCAGAGATACAGCGGTCACTGTGGGATGCTTTGCAGGGAATGTAGGAAGCAGAGGAGTAAGGAGGATGGGCTGTGCCTCCATCCCAATGAGACAGAAGTGGAGGGACCACGTCTCCAGAAATGTATTTGTTCAGCTTTTGCCGAGCTCCCACGGTTGGTGGTTTCCATGTGGGAGCTGAGGTTCCACGGTGGCAAATGTCAGCCGTCCATAAATGTTTGCCATATGTTTTGTGATCCCAAGGCCTCACTCCATGCCAAGTCCCCACTGCCCGTTGCTGCAGTCAGACACGTTGTCTGTACCCCCATTACCCCAGACCTTCATCTCAGCGGCCCCTGGGATGCTCCCAGCCTCCAACCCTGCTCTGTTGTCCTCCCTCCCCACTGCCGTTCCCTCCTACATCTCCGCTGTCGTTCCCAATCCCTGCTGCCATTCCCCCACCCCTGCTGCTCTCCCCCTCCCCGCAGCCCCCCAGCACCTCACTGCACCCCCCCTCAGATTACTCCAAGGGTTTCGGTGGCCGTTACGGTGTGGAGAGGGACAAAGTGGACAAAGCAGCAGTGGGGTTTGACTACAAGAGCCAGGCGGAGAAGCACGACTCACAGAAAGGTGATCACCCCTTCCTAAGTCCAGAGCAGCCTATAGAGTTCTATAGGGGCACTACAGTCAGCACTGCAGCCCCACGCTCACCATGCTGATGCTTTTCCCCTCCTCTCTGTCCTCTGTTCCCCTCTGTGCTGTGATTGGGATCCCCGTGGCTGAAGATTATTCGGTGGGCTTCGGTGGGAAGTTTGGAGTCCAGAGGGATCGTCAGGACAAGAGTGCTCTGGGCTGGGACCACCAGGAGGAGGTGCAGCCCCACGCCTCCCAGACAGGTACAGATGGGCTTGGAGCTGACTGTTCACACTGCCAAAACCCAAATGCAGCACACTGTGGATGTGTGGGCAGCTGGGGGGCACTGTGAGCTCCAAAGCAAAGGGTGAACTTGGCCATAGCAGGGCTTGGAGTGTGGCAGAGCAGATTGATGGGGGACGTGGATACACATCCCTGGGTTGGGCTCTCTGTGCCTGTTGTAGTTTCCATGGAAATAAATAGGAGGCATTACTTTCAGAGTGACCTATGTAACATTCTAAAATATAAATTGGTTTCTGATTCTCCATACAGACTATGCCAGGGGGTTTGGAGGCCGCTATGGGGTCCAGAAGGACAGGGTGGATAAGGTGAGTCTCTGATCAGTGCTCTTAGATTCACTGAGCTGTAGGTTGGGAAAGAGCTCTGAGATCTCCAGCCCCAACCCATCCCACCCATCCCACTGCCCACATCCCCCAGTGCCACATCCCTGTGCTCACCAAACACCCCCAGGGATGGGGGCTCCCCGCTGCCCTGGGCAGCTGTGCAGTGCTGACGGCTCTTTGCAGCACAGGTTGTTCCCAATTCCAACCCTCCCCATTGCACCCTGAGCCCATCCCCTCCCGTCCCATCCTGGGAGCAGGAGCCGACCACCCCCTTCCTCTTGCAGAGTGCTGCTGGCTTTGACGAGATGGAAGGTCCAACGTCCAGATATGAGAAAACACGACCAGTGGAGGCAGGTGAGAGAAGCATGTACCCACCCAGGGCTCGCTGGGTGCTGTCTCCCCCAGTGGCAGCGCATCACAGGCCCTGGGCAGTGCTGAGGGGTGAGGAGGGCGGCTGCAAGGAGGTTCCTCCAGCTGCACGGAGAGACGGGTTTCTCCTGGTGCTTGGGGCAGAGAAAGGAGCCATTGGGCAGCCTGCATCAGCTCTATCCTCCATGCATCAGCTCTATCCTCCATGCATCAGCTCTATCCTCCATGCATCAGCTCTATCCTCCATGCATCAGCTCTATCCTCCATGCACCAGCTCTATCCTCCATGCATCAGCTCTATCCTCCATGCATCAGCTCTATCCTCCATGCATCAGCTCTATCCTCCATACATCAGCTCTATCCTCCATGCATCAGCTCTATCCTCCATGCATCAGCACTATCCTCCATGCATCAGCTCTATCCTCCATGCATCAGCTCTATCCTCCATGCACCAGCTCTATCCTCCATACATCAGCTCTATCCTCCATGCACCAGCTCTATCCTCCATACATCAGCTCTATCCTCCATACATCAGCTTCCGGCGGTGCCAGCAGCCTGCGGTCACGGTTTGAGAACATGGCTAAGTTGGCAGATGAGGAGAGCAGGAGGCAGGTGGAAGAGGAGCGGGCCAGGCGGCAACGGGAGGGCCAGGCGGCACGGAGAAAGGTGAGCCATGGCCATCACCTCCCTGTGGACATCACCTCCCTGTGGACAGCACCTCCCCATGGCCATCACCTCCCCATGGCCATCACCTCCCCATGGACATCACCTCCCCATGGACATCACCTCCCCATGGCCATCACCTCCCCGTGGCCATCACCTCCCCATGGCCATCACCTCCCCATGGCCATCACCTCCCCGTGGCCATCACCTCCCCATGGCCATCACCTCCCTGTGGACATTACCACCATCTCTCCAGGGCCACAATCTCCCTATGGCCACAGTCTCCTCATGGCCACCATCTCCCCGCTGTGACTACCAGCTCTCCATGGCCATCACCTCCCTGTGGCCATCACCATCATCTTCCCAGGGCCACCATGTCCCTTTGGCCATCACCTCTTCATGGCCCCATCACCATCACCATCACCAAGTCCCCATCACCATCACTTCCCTGTGTCCCCAGGACCAGCAGAGTAGACTGTTCTGCAGACCTGCTGGTGTCCATCTGTTAGTTTGTGGCAGCTGGAGCAGATTTCAGTGGGAAGAGGATTGTCTGAGCGTTGCTCTCTTATGGGGATGGGGATGGATGTGGTTGAAAGGGACTGAAGGGCTCTGCCAACTTTCCTCCAGCAGGAAATCCCACAAAGAGAGACGGACCGCACAGAGCCACCTCCTGCCCCTGTGCCTGCGAGGGTCCCTGTGAGAGCTGAGCAGGAGCCCATGCCACAAGGAGAGCAGGTGCTGAGAGAGGGGATGGAGACGCTGTGCCCCACAGCCCTGCAGGGAGACCAGGAGGAAACACTGTGGTGGTGGTGGGACATGGCTGCACAGCACCTTGAGCCACAGAGGGTGGTCTGGGGGGGTTGGTCATTGCTATATGGCACGCTGTATGGTATGAGAAAGACTTGGAGCCATGAGAGTCTGTCCTGAGCTGGCTGCTGAGCTCTGGGTGTGGATGATGCTCTGCTGGTGCTGCGGTGGCTCTGTGGATGCGGGCGCCCTTGGTTGGGTGCTGTGCAATGAGGAGCTGCCTGCAATGGGTGCTTTGCAGGTAACTTTCCTGTTGTTTTCTCACTCCGTGGCAGGAGGCAAAAGGAGAGGAGGAGGAGGAGACAGCACCTGCGTTGCCCCCAAGGCAAGCAGATCTGAACCAGGAGGAGGAGGAGGAGCCCATCTACAGCGAGACTTTTGATGGTGGGGACTACGAGGAGCTGCTGGAGTGCTCCGACTACTGCGACAGCGTCAGTGCAGGCGCTGACTACGAGGAGCTGCCGGCACCCGCGGCAAAGCCGAGTGCCACCCCCAGCCTGAGAGAGGAGGATGAAGGGGAGGACTATGACGAGGTCATTCCCGAGGAGCCCAGCCAGAGCCAGCCCTGCGGGGGTGAGCGTGGGGAAAACAGCCTCGGAGAGTGTCTGGGTGGATGGACAAACCGAGGGGGGTTTGGTGTCCTGAAGTCCTGTGGTTCAGGTTAGCAGTCCGTGTTGGTCGGGACCTGGCTGCATCCCAGCCCCTCGCCCTTGCTCCAAGGCACAAATCAGCAGCGTGGGGTGCAGGGTTGGGCAGCGGGTGTCCGCTGAAGGCGAGGGCAGGAGGGCTGCACCTGATGCGTTGTTTCCTTTGAGGGACCCCCGGTGGGGCTGCAGGGCTGGCTCTGATCCTTCACAGCTCACGGTGCTCGGAGACCTGAGCTGCTGGTGCCTCCTGGCTGCCAGGGGAGCAGGGAGTATGTGAGCAAATTGCACGAGAGGCTGCTGCTGTTTCCATTGCCACTTTGCATGGCGAAAAGGAGGAGCTGCGGTTCTATCCAGGCTTTGTCTGAAGGAGGATCACCAAGCACCAGGACTGCTGCTCCCTCCTCCTAGCCATGGAAGCAATGCGTGCTGTGCGCTGAGCCGCGGTGCACCGCTCTGTGCCAACAGGGGACGGATGTGGCTCACAGCAGGACAGACAGATGGGCACCAAACGGACCTCCGTGGCTGCCTTCAGCCTCCCTCTCATCTACCTGTCTGTCTTCTGCAGGGGGAACGGACAGCATTTATGAGGTGGAGAGTCCTGGGATCTGTGCAGTGGCCCTCTACGATTACCAAGGAGGTGAGTCTGCCATCCAGCGGTGTGGAAGGCGGTCACCCTGGCCCTGGGAGCTCGGCAGGGGATGGGAGGTGGTGGCTCACAGCAGCTGTGGTGGAAGGGGTTGGGCTCAGCTGGTTACGTGTCTTCCTTGTGGGAAGTAAAAGGAGAGCTTGCTTTGGAACCTCTGCTTCATCGTTCACCTGTGAGGTTTCTCTCCTTGCTCCACTCTGTGCTGATTGCAGGGTTGGGGGTTGGGTGGGATGAGCTCTGTGACCTGTCAGCCTGCATGGGGAGAAGGAGGGGAGGGATGTAAACCAGTCCATCCCAGCACGGCCACCATCTGCTCTGATCAATCCCTGCAGACGGAGATGATGAGATTTCCTTTGATCCCGATGACACCATCACACACATCGAGATGGTGGACGAAGGCTGGTGGAGAGGGCAGTGCCACGGCAAAGTGGGGCTCTTCCCAGCAAACTACGTGAAGCTCCTGCAGTGAGGCCGTGCTCCATCTGCCTCCTCCTGAACCTTCACCCCTCTCTGCTTCAGCCCTTTATGCATTATTAGCTTGATTTGACTCTGCTTGGCCTGGCTGCATGCAAGGAATAGCAGCGAACAAACCAGCCGTGTGGGAGGAAATGCCCAGGATGTATTCTGACTCCCATCCCACTGAGAAAGGTGGGATGGTCCCAGAACTTAGAGGTGTGATGTGCGATGCCTTTTCTGTCTGGGTCATCCCATGCATCAGCCACAGTGCGTGCAGGAGAGCTGTGTCCATTTCTGTCCCAGCAGGGAGCAGTGGCCACAGGGATGTGGCACTTGGGGACGTGGGCAGCGCGATGGGCTGGGGCTGGATTGGGGTTGCACTGGGGATCTCAGAGGTCTTTTCCAACCTCAGTGGTTTTGTGGTTCTACCCATAGGGCTCAGTCCAGCAGTGAAGTCAGCCCACCCATTCCCACTGCAGAAATAGTTACCTGCAGCTAATTAGCTCACCTGTCAGTAGGAATTAATGAGGAAAGGAGCAAATTGTGCACGCTGGGTGGAGTTCCCTTACCTGATGTGTTCCCATTGCTGGTGCTGTTGGCCAAACCCTGCTTCCCTGGCGTGAGTTGGTTGCATCACTTTGAAGTCTACCAAACTTTTAGCAGCCTGGTTTGAGCAGCAAACGGCAGCAGCATCTGTCTGTGCTGCACTGTGCTCCCCCTAGAACTCAAGCAATAAACTCTTCTGTTCTGACCTGCTCATGGCCATGACCCCTTACTTTGTGACGGCACACAGCGCACAGCCGAGAGGGATTTGTTTCTGCAGATAGGAGGAAAAAGCAGAGCGTGTTGGCAGCGGGACCAGACATTTTAAGATTTGCAATGCTTTAAAGCAACACTGAGCAACAATCCAATGCAAACCATGCCCTCCCCTAAAGCAGCGTGCTCTGGGCTGGGTGCTCACTACTGCTGCTGCAGGAAATGGTTGTTGGTGTGCAAGTAGTGTGCAAGTCAGTGCCAGCACCACCCCTGGGACCAAAGCTCCTGCAAGGAGCTCTGGGAGCTCATCCCAGTGCAGTCCCAACCTCCAGCAGCAGGCTGGCACCTGAAAGCTGACATCTCCCACCACCCACAGCCACACCACTGCTCCACCAAGTTGGGATTTACTGCTGCAAAGCAAAGTGCAGAGCTTTGGTGGCAGCCTGCAGAAGCCCAGTGGTGCCAAAGGCCGTATGGGAGTGGGCTGCGCCAGTGGAACTTCTGCAGGGGCTGAGTTCTGTGCTCTGTGCTGGTGCCGTGTCCGTGGCTCGGTGCTCTGGTCAGCCTCAGGCACTGCTCCCAGCCCTGCTGAGTGCAGCCCATGCCTGCTACAGGAAATTGCCAATTACAGCATCCTCTGGTAACAGTGCTACTGCAGAGGGTCCTGTGCTGAGCTCAGCGTGCAGTCACAGAATCAGATAGGTTTGGGTTGGAAGGGATCTGTCAGACGGCCTCCTTCCAACCTGCTGCTGTAGGCAGGGACGCCTCCCACCAGCCCAGGTTGCTCACAGCCCATCCAGCCTGGCCTTGAATGGCCCTGGGTCATCCACAGCCTCTCTGGGCAACCTGTGCCAGTGCCTCACTTGCCCTCACAGTTAAGAATTTCTTCCTAAGATCTACACTAAATCTCCCCTCTTCCAGTTTAAAGCCATTTCCCCTCATCCTGTCCCTCCCCAGCTTTCCTGTAGGATCCTTCAGGTCCTGGCAGGCCGCTATAAGATCCCCCCAGTGCCTTCTTTTCTCAGGCTGAATATCCCCAGTTCTCTGGGCCTGTCCCCATAGGAGATGTGCTCCAGCCCTCTGATCATCTTCGTGGCCCTCCTCTGGTGCCTTCCAACACAAACCATTCTGTGATATTATGAATAGTGACTTCATATCCTATAGATTTCAGCTAACACTACCTGGACACAACCCAGGACCTGTGGCCTGGATCCCAGCTTGATTCTGCCATTCTCTCACTGGTGATGTGCGAAGGGTCAGACGTGTGATGTGATGACAGTGTGCTATGAGCACAGATAACTGGTAGGAAGACAGAGAAAGGATGAAGGATTAGCTTTTACAGGTGTGCTTGTATAAGTCGACATGGAGACAGCTGATTTTTAGTTTAGAAAATGCTTATTACGAAGTCTGTTGTGAAGTCCTTTAATGGAACAACCCGTGTTTTTTGGAGAATGGAACCATAAGAAGCGGAGTGCGAGACACGATGACCTGGAGATAAACTTCCAAAACTGAACTGAGAAGTGAGACTAAGAAAGCAGATTGTGCTGATGAAGTCATTTGTTTGGGACTCGGTAGAGGACATGAAGGACTCTATGGAAACTTTAGTAAAGTCATGGAATCACAGAACCATAGAATGGCCTGGGTTGAAAAGGACCACAATGCTCCTCCAGTTCCAAGCCCCTGCTGTGTGCAGCTCACCAACCAGCAGCCCAGGCTGCCCAGAGCCACATCCAGCCTGGCCTCCAATGCCTGCAGGGATGGGGCATCCACAGCCTCCTACATAATCAGAAGAGTAATGCTGTGTAAGCGATCACAAAGCACAGATAGGTTGACATTCACTGCGCTGGTGACCCAACTTTGAATAAACCAGAGAACTCAGTCTGCTGGAATTCCTCCCTTTTACACCCTGGAGGTGCCCGAGGCTGTGCATGGGGCCACTGGGCAGCCCGAGCTGGTGGGGGGCACCCAGCCCACAGCAGGGGTGGAACGGGAGAGTCTTTAAGGTCTCCTCCAACCTCAGCCATTCTACGGCCCCCCGATTCCCCCTCCCTGTGGACGCAGCCCCACATCAGCCCCGCAGCCCCGGGAGCCGCACCGCCAGCGCAGGACCCTCCTGAGGGCCGCCCGCACCTCCTGGTTGCGGAGGCTGTAGATGAGGGGGTTCAGCGCGGGGGTGACGATGCAGAACAACGCTGACACCACGGCGCCGGCCAGCGGCGAGCCGTCGGTGCCGAGCCGGTTGTAGTTGAGGTTGGCCGTCACGAAGTAGAGCGTGACCACCAGCAGGTGGGCAGAGCAGGTGGAGAAAGCCTTGCGTCGGCCAGCGGCTGCTGGCACGGCCAACACGGCCACCAGGATGCGCAGGTAGGAGCCGAGCACCAGCAGGAAGGGGCCGAAGCCCACGAAGATGCTGGCGGCGTGCAGAGCCGCCTCGCTGGGCCGCGTGTTGCCGCAGGCGGCCCTGAGCAGCGGGGGGACGTCGCAGAAGAGGTGCTGCAGGTGAACGGCTCTGCAGAAGGACAGCCGGGAGGCCAGCAGCGTGTGCACCGCCGAGTCCAGCGCTCCCCACAGCCAGCAGCCCGCAGCCATGGCCCGGCACGCAGCCCTCGGCATGGTGTGTGCGTAGTGCAGGGGGTGCACGATGGCTGCGTAGCGGTCGTAAGCCATGACGGCCAGCAATGCGCACTCGGCACCCGCGCAGCTCATCAGGAAGAAGGTCTGAGCCAAGCAGCCGCGGTAGGAGATGGCGGCCCGCGGGAGAAGGCTGTTGGCCAGGACCTTGGGCACCGTCGCTGTGGAGTAGCAGATGTCCAACCAGGAGAGGTGGCTGAGGAAGAAATACATGGGGTTGTGGAGATGGGGGTCCAGGAGCACGAGGGCGAGTATTGCAGAGTTCCCCAGCAGCGTGACCAGGTATGTGGCCAGGAAAAGGAGGAAGAGGAAGGGCCGGCCATGGGAAAAGCCCAGCAGAAGGATCTCTGTCACCTGAGTCTGGTTCCCCCTGGCCATGGGGCAGCTGCGTTGGTCTGCAGGCGGAAAAGAGCAGCAGGAAGAGGTGGAGAGGGTAAAAAAACGACTACAGAGTATGGGTTTAACTGCTCGGATGGCTGTGGTCCTATCTCTGCAGTGACTGAAGGCTTCCCATGCCAATACTTTGCAGACAGTGGGATTTCACCGTCCAGGAAGATGCTGTTTGGTGCTGGCAATCTGACTGCAGGAGTCACACCAAGGAAACCGTGGCCAGTTTGCATCCAGGCTAACTCACACATCCTGGGTCCTCCTGCCCATCAAACCCGCTGTCTCAAACACCCAGCACATCTCTTTTCTTCCCATTTGCACTCCTGCTCCCTTCCCTGCTTCCTGCACAACACCACATCCTTCTCCAGATGCTACGGCCACAAGGCCTGCTCTCTGCCAGCTGCCAGGGATGTGCCATCACTTTGCACCAGCTAAAAGGGATTATTATTACTCTTTTTTCCATCCTGTCTCTTCCTCTGCCTTTTTGGAGTGCTTTGCTTAGCAATAACCAGTACCAGAACACCCCAGGTTCCAGCTGAGGGAGGCTCACCACGCTATGTTTGTAGAGCCACAACCAAATGGAGCTGTCAGGGTCTCTGCTGGCCTGGGACTCCTGACTTTCTTCCATACATCTGATTTCTGCCACCCTGACCCAAGGGTTTTGCTGATTGCTCTGTGGAGCTGTGCTGACCCTGTCCATACGAAAGGCTAAGAGACCTGGGGCTGTTCAGCCTGAGGAAAAGGAGGCTGAGAGGGGATCTGATCAATGTTCACAAACCTCTAAAGGGAGGTGGAGGCACAGAGATGGGGCCAGGCTCCTCTCAGTGCTGAGCAACCAGAGGACGAGGAGCAACAAACTGGAACATAGGGAATTCTGTGCTAAGATGCAGAAGAACTGCTTTCCATCGGGGTGACGGAGCAGTGGCACAGGCTGTGCAGAGAGGTGGTGGAGTCTCCTGTGAGGACATCCACCTCTGAGACCATTACAGGGAACTGCTTTAGCAGAGGTTGGGCTCAGTGATCTCCTGAGGTCCCTCCCAACCCCTGTGGTTCCGTGATTCCATTTTCCCGTGGTATTTCAGCAGCAGCAGAAGGGAACCATGAGTTCCTCTGCAGGAGGGAGGGATGGAGAGCTGCCTGTGAGGCTCTCCCTGTGCATTGGGTGTGGAGGCACAAGGATGCTGTGCAATCACAGGAAGACAGACCCTAATTTCTCCGCTGCGCTCTGGAGTGATGTAGCAGTCAGTGACATTTAAACCCTTCACCCCCAAACACCCTTTGTACAGGGGAGGGGAAACGTGGTCGGAAAATCTCCCCTTTCCCCCACCAAGGAAGGTGCCTCACTTCACCTTGGTCCCCCTCCCGTCGCCCCAGTGTTTTGGGGTGCGTTGTGCCACCCTCTGTTCTGCAGGAGGCCAGGCACGCTGTGCTCCCACCCCAGACACCAGATGCTCCTGCAGGAAGATGCAGCTCTCCCCTTGAATTTCTACCAGCCCATTTGCACCCCAGGTGAGCACAGCAGAGCCTGGAACGTGGGAGAGGGATCCTGAGCCCTTGGTGCGCTCTGTCCCTGCCTGATGGTTGGACTGGGGGGAGCTGGCAGCACCACAGGAGGAATTTCTCCCAATGAGGACTGGGTGGTTTTGCTGGAGGCAGCACCAGCTCCCACAGCCTGTACAAATGCCTCGACCACCCTGAGCCCTGGGTGCCAGCACAGGCATGGTCCCTATGCAGTATGCAGGGGGGGGACCCTGAGAGGCCTCCATCATGCCCTATGAGCCTCCTACTGCAAGCAGGGCTCTGCCCTCCTTACCTCCGTGTCCAGCAACAAACCTGCAGTGCTGGGTGAGAGGAAAAAGCTGCCCCTGCCCCCACGTGCTGCCCAATGTGTCTTACCTGCACCAGGAGGAGCCACCTGCACCTGTGAGCAGAGGAGCAGCTTTTAACCCTGGGAGGTCCTGAGGGAGAGGCTGGCAGAGGCAGCACTGCTGCACGGCAAAAGCACAGAGCAGAGATGATTTCCCCCCAGTCAGTCCACACAAGTGGGACCTGAGCCTGCCAAACAGAACCCTCCTGGCGCAGTACCCCCTATGATTCCCTTCTCTGGTCCAGCCCAGTCTGAGCTCTCTAGCCCTGTCCTTCCATCCCAGCCCTCAGCAACTCTTGTGCACCTGGGCTGCAGCTCAGGTCACCACGCACTGAGTACCCCATGCCATGGGGAAGGGCCGGATGGGAGGGTTGGGAGCTGATTGAGCTCATTAACTGATAAGCACAGGTACTACGATCAGCCTCCACCAAGAAGTGAAGAACCTGCAGCCCTTTCGTCCTCCTTCATCACACCGTGAGGGGTCACAGCAGATGGTGCAGCAGGGGGGCAGCAATGCACACACCTGCAGCACAACCCTATGGCACAGGTTGGGCTGGGTTAAAGCACAGGTTGTGTTGGGTTAAAGCACTGGTTGGGCTGGGATAAAGCACTGGTTGTGTTAAAGCACTGGTTGGGCTGGGATAAAGCATTGGTTGTGTTAAAGCACTGGTTGGGCTGGGTTAAAGCACTGGTTGGGCTGGGATAAAGCACTGGTTGTGTTAAAGCACTGGTTGGGCTGGGATAAAGCACTGGTTGTGTTAAAGCACTGGTTGGGCTGGGTTAAAGCACTGGTTGGGCTGGGATAAAGCACTGGTTGTGTTAAAGCACTGGTTGGGCTGGGTTGAGGCGTGGAACAGAGCTCTGTGGCTCTGAGGACTCAGCACTTCTGGACTCTTTAGTGGATGCAGAGCTCTTAATGTCTCCACTTGCAAGCACCGTGCTTTCCAAACCCAAAGGTACTGTTGTAAAACTGTGGTCTTCTCCAAGTCACGATTCCCTGTTTGTTTCGACAGGTGGAAATTAGATTGGATCTTGGGAACAATTTCTTCTCCAAAGAGCAGTCAGCACTGGCACAGCCACAGATTTCCTGAGCCTTCATCTCGTGATATTCAGAGAGAATCATAGAATCATTCAGGTTGGAAAAACCCACTAAGATCACCACAGGTGACTCTGGTTCTTTCTTACATCCATTAGAAGGAAAAATCTTGAAGCCTCTTGGCTGCATTTTGCCTGCTGCCTCTCCTACTCCTCTGTGCCCTGTTGTGAAGGGTCCGGCCTTGGTTTTGAGATAGCCTCCCCATGGGTACATGGATACTTGTGGCTCCCCCAAGCCACCACTCCATCAGGCTGAACAAGCTCAGCTCTCTCAGCCCCTGCCCATGGGAGCTCACCTCCAGTTCGACGACGTGCCTCCTGTTCTGGGGAGCCCAGCACTGCATCCAGTATCTGGATGTGGTCTCAGGGGCACAGAATGCTTACCTCATTCTGCTGCCTTTGATTCACACAACCCCAGGATGCCCAGGGCCACCAGGGCATGCTGCTGCCCCATGCCCAGTTTGCTGTCACTGCTCCCCCCTCCAGACCTGGCATCGTTCTCATTGAATTTCACAGGGTTCCCCTTGGTCCTCTCCTCCAGCCTGTCCAGGTCCCTCTGGAATAAAAACCCTTGAGCACATACACTGGTCTTCTTGATTTGAAGTCACCTACAAATCTGGCATGGTTACCATCTCCTCTGTGTCACTAATGAAGAGGCCAATCAGGGCAGGGCCCTGGACCAGATACCTGCGATGTCTCATCCGTCTCTGATGACTGCTCAAACATTACAGGAGCTGGTTGGAGGGCCGGGCACAGAGAGTGGTGGTGAATGGAGTCAAATCCAGCTGGCGACCGGTCGTGAGCGGTGTTCCCCAGGGGTCGGTGCTGGGCCTGTCCTCTTCAATATCTTTATTGATGACCTCGATGAGGGCATCGAGTGCAGCCTCAGTACATTCGCAGATGACACCAAATTGGCTGGAAGCGTGGATCTGCCTGGGGGTAGCGAGGCCCTGCAGAGGGATCTGGACAGGCTGGAGAGCTGGGCTGAAGCCCATGGGATGAGTTTCAACAAGGCCAAATGCCGGGTCCTGCACTTCGGCCACAGCAACCCCAGGCGACGCTGCAGGCTTGGGGCGGTGTGGCTGGAGGACGGCGTAGAGGAAATGGACCTGGGGGTATGGATGGATGCTGGGCTGAACATGAGCCCACAGTGTGCCCAGGTGGCCAAGAAGGCCAAGGGCAGCCTGGCCTGCATCAGAAACAGTGCTGCCAGCAGGAGCAGAGAGGTGATTGTTCCCCTGTATTCAGCACTGGTGAGGCCGCACCTCGAGTGCTGGGTCCAGTTTTGGGCCCCTCACTGCAAGAAAGATATTGAGGCCCTGGAACGTGTTCAAAGGAGGGCAATGAAATGGTGAGGGGTCTGGAACACAGGGCTGATGAGGAGAGGCTGAAGGAGCTGGGAATGTTCAGCCTGGAGAAGAGGAGGCTCAGGGGAGACCTCACTGCTCTCTATAACTTCCTGAAGGGAGGCTGTAGTGAGCTGGGGGTCGGCTCTGCTCTCGTGTCATCAGTGATAGGAGCAGAGGGAATGGCTTCAAGCTACGGCAGGGGAGACTCAGGCTGGACATGAGGAAGTATTACTGTTCAGAAAGGGTGGTCAGGTGCTGGAATGGATGCCCAGGGAGGTGGTGGAGTCACCGAGCCTGGGGGTGTTCAAGGAAAGGCTGGATGTTGTGTTGAGGGACGTGGTTTAGTGGGAGCTATTGGGAATGGGTGAACGGTTGGACCGGATGAGCTTTGAGGTCTTTTCCAACCTTGGTGATTCTATGATTCTATGATTATTCTCTGAAGCTGATGATCCAGACAGCGTTACACCATCACTTTCATGAAGTTGCTTTGACACACACGAGCTGAACACACTTTTCTTCCCATGTTTTTGAACACACTTCTAACTGACAAGGAGAGCCCAGCTGCTCAGACCTTTGTGTGGCCACGTCTGAATACAGAGCTCAGCAACGTGTTGAAGGCATCGTTGGCCCCATTGGCTGCAGTGGGCTTTTGCTCGGTGGCTTTGGCTGTCCCTCCTGCAGTTGTGATGGTGCTAATGGTGCTCTGCCAGAAGTTAAGGTTAGGGTAGGGTTATGGTTATGGTGATGAGGAGAGGTAACAGACATGAGCCATGAAAAGAGCCATCCCCACTGCATGCCATGGAAAATCCCTCCAGCGCTGGCTCCACACCCACAGGCCATGGACAACCTGGTGTAGGGAACTGCTTTGGCAGGGGGTTGGACTCCATGATCTCTGGAGGTCCCTTCCAACCCCTACAATTCTTCCTGCAGCCTCAACTGTGTCCTGGGCAGGGGCTGGACCAGCATCTCCTTTCCACCAGTACGAGTCTGATCTCTACAGTTAAATTCCATTGGGTTTTGTCACAACAGCATTTCACATTTTTCTCATTGCTTTCCTCCGAGGAGTTTCCTTCGAGACGTGATTTTGCAGAGGAGTTGCCTGGAGCTCCTTGTTATCTAGGCCAGCCCAGAAGCAAGGATAGGAAAGAGCTGGCATTTCCAGCCTGCACTGCCCAAGGCAGGACAAATGCCTCATCCTGTGAAAGCACCAATGGAACGCAGGGAGTCGCTTTTCTCTAAAATGACTGATTTTTGGCTGAAAAGAAAACAGCAGTGCCTCATGCTGCTCTGTAGCAGTGAAGGGACTTCATTTGTTGCACCTTCATTCTGTTGGATTCACTGCTGGTACTCGTATTGCAGGAAAAAAGGGTGGCAATGCTTGATCCAGCTCTAAAGTGGGCCAAAGCTGACTTGATTTATGGTGACTTGATTATTTGGTCCCTTGAACACGTCCAAGGACGGGGCATCCACAACCTCCCTGGGCAGCCCGTTCTAGGGCCTGATTGCTCTCCTTGTGAAGAACTTCCCCCTAACATCCAACCTCAATCTTCCCTCCTTCAACTTGGATCCATTTCCCCTCGTCCTGCTGTTGTCAGCCCTTCTGAAGAGTTTACTCCCCTCCTGGCTGTAGGTTCCCTTCAGGTATTGATAGGCTGCCATGAGGTCACCCCGCAGCTTCTCTTCTCCAGGCTGAACAAGCCCAACTCCCTCAGCCTGTCCTCATAGGGGAGGTGCTCCAGCCCCCTGCTCATCTCAGTCGCCCTCCTCTGGACCCTTTCCAAGATCTCAATGTCTTTCTTGTACTGAGGGCTCCACACCTGGACACAGGACTCCAGGTGGGGCCTCACAAAGAGCCGAGTAGAGAGGGACGATCACCTCCCTGTCCCTGCTGACCACCCCTCTCCTGATGGAGCCCAGGAGCTCCCCCACCACCAGCAAGCAGCTCCTGCCCACTGATTATTATGGGACAGCTGCGACCCAACCACCATCCCCATCCCTCATCCTCACGCTGTGGGGTTTTTGCCCATGGCACCAAGCCAGACACAGGAGCTAATTACTGCACTTGAAATGAGATGCTTTAAATAGAAGGTTGAAATTGGAGAGAAAAGTTTTCTTGCCCACTCGGGGCAAATCCCCGCTGGGCTCCCTCCACAGGAGTGGCAGTGCCAGGCAGAAAGCCCAGAGCGCCCCAATTTTCTGCCCTGTGTGTCTGTGGGTAAATGAGTAAATGAGGGTAAACGAGGCCCGGAGGGAGCTGTTAGAAGTTCGGTGCATCGCTCAGAACTTTACTTTGAAACTGTTTGCATTTGCACCAATCCATTGCATCATCACACAGAGCAAGGGGAATGGAAAGCGGAGAATCAGCCTTCCTGTCTTCAGGGTGTCCACACTCTGAGCCAAGAAAAGGTGCACACAAAGGTTTCGAGTGTTAGAAGGGGAAAAAGCTGAACAACTGAACAGTGCATGGTCAATACGAAACGCCCGAGTGACAGCAAGCTGTGCAAAGCAAAATCCAACAGACATCACCAACTCCTTGACCTGCTTTGAAAAACAGCAATGAAACCCCTTCCCAGGCTCAGCCTAATGCTTCGTCCCCCTTCCTTAATCCCAATGCCCCACTGTGCTGTTGTTGCAGCAACAGAATCTGTAACGTTATGCTAAAGCAGCATCTGGAAGTTTTGCCTTTGTGATGTTAAGCCACAGCATCTGCAGTTCAAACAAAGCAAGCAAAAATCCTGAAGGAGGGAACGGAATCTGTTCTCCATTTGTTCTGTAAGAACAGATCAATGAGGGAGGGAATGAGGGAGAGAAAGGTGAGAAATGGAACGAGAAGCTGTTTTGAATTTAAACCATTTGAAGTTACAAAACCAATGGTGACTCATCGTCAGAGGACCAAGCGGCACCAGATGGTGCACAGAACAGATGCTGGATGTCACTGCAGAAGCAGCAAAAAAAGCTGATTTTGCTCTCTTCCAAGCAAGGAGGAAAAAAGACTTTTAGCAGAGTACCCGAAATAGAGAACATCTGCTGTCATCCCAAATGCAAGGGCTTCTTTATGCTAAAAATCCACGCCTGACATTGCCTCTCGCACCCAACACCAATTATTTCAGGGTTAGATCTCCTGATGAATTTTAGAGCATCTTTTGCTTTGCAAAACAAACACCTTGATTGGGGAAATGGGACTGAGGTGAACCAAAGACATACAATCATAGAATCATCACAGAATGGTTTGGGTTGGAAGGGACCTCAAGGCTCACGAAGCTGCAGCCCTGCAGCAACAGGCAGGGCCACCAACCTCCACGTTTAATGCTAAACCAGGCTGCCCAGGGCCCCATCCAACCTCCAACACCTCCAGGGATGGACGGGGCATCACAGCCTCTCTGGGCAGCTGTTCCAGCCCCTCCCCGCTCTCACAGCACACAACTTCCCCCTGACATCCAACCTCCAGCTGCCCTCCCTCAGCTTCCAGCCGTTTCCCCTCGTCCTGCTGCCATCTCCCCTTGCCAGGAGTTGACTCCCCTCCTGTCTGCAGGCTCCCTTCAGCTCCTGCAGCTGCACTCAGCTCACCCCCAGCTTCTCTTCTCCATGCTGAACAGCCCAGCTCCCTCAGGCTGTTTGCAGGGCGGTGCTGCAGCCCCCTGCTCATCTTTGTGGCTGCTCTGCACCCTCTCCAACAGCTCCCTGTCTGTCTTGTATTTGGACCCCCAGCCCTGGATGCAGTGCTGCAGACGGGGCCTCATTTGGGCAGAGCAGAAAGGGACAATCCCCTCCCTGTCCCTGCTGCCACCCCTCTGCTGATGGAGCCCAGGATCCCATTTACTTTCAGAGCTACAAGGTCACACTGCTGGCTCATGTTCAGTTTTTCACCCATCAGGGCCCCCAGGTCCTGCTCTGCAGGGCTGCTCTCAAGCTCTGCTCCTTCCAGTCTGTGTGGATGCCTGGGATTCCTCTGGCCCAAATCCCAAACCTCACACACTGCTGTGTTGACCCCCATTAGGTTCACCCAGGCCCACCTTTCAAGTCTGCTGAGGTCTCTCTGAACGGCAGCCCCTCCATCCATGTCTCTGCTGAGGATGCACTCAATTCCATCACTGATGTCACTGATGAAGATGTTAAAGATTGCTGGTCCCAAGGCAGACCCCTGTGGGACAGCGCTCCTTACTGGCCTCACCTGGACACAGAACCACTCACCACAGCCTCTGTCTGCAGCCTTTCAACCAATTCCTTATCCCTGTCAGCACTAATGTGACAATTACCCAAGCAATGCCAACCAGAACCTGTAACAGTACCTGAAAACGTGACACTGAGATGGAGGATCAGTACTTGAAATTCGAGGTTTTGTTTCAGGGATTGTGCAAAATAAACATTTCAGATGAACAAAGATTTACCACGTAATGCCATCCCCAATTAACGTCATAAAAGCAAATGATGTAAAGAAGGGAGCTGGAGAGGAATAGTAAAGATCAGTAGTTACCAGAAATAAGCACACAGCATCCAGCATATGGGGAACCAACAACGAATCAATCATCAATGACAGCAAGAATCCAGGTGTGGGTAAATTCATGTCATCAACAGATCCACCTTTGGGAACTGCTGGTGAAAATAAAAGCAGCAAGGCAGAAATGCAGACATATTCAGCAGATTGTTTTGATCTGTGCCCGAAACAAAATGATGGCCGTGTTTAATCTCCTATAACAGCAAGGAAAGAACAACACAAATGTACTGAATCGAGGAAGCTGGGTGGCAGCACTTTGACAACTTACATTTTCTCAAACACAGCTGTCTTAAACTAATGAAAGAGTAACTTGTTTGGGATCCGTGACAGACCAGAGTGTTAATTAATTTGGGACTCAATCAGCAGAGCTTCAGCATCACTGACACTCGTGCTTTACATCAGAATGGGGAGTCAAGGCAAACAAACTCAACCTAAGTAGATTCCCAGGGTCCCTTCTCTGATTCAGGTCATTTGGAGTTATGTGAAAGAAATTTCACTCAGTACCTTGATTTTTAAACGTCATCAGTATTGGAATAAACTACGAGGGGACAGTTTAAATGGATTAAGGACTCACACATGGGCAGATCTCAAAATGCATCAGATGGAAGAACATAAGTGAGCACAGAACTTTCACAGTAACTCAAACCCAAGTCCTCGTGCCCCAGCACACCAACGATCTGATGGTTGAAACACTTGGAACACAACTGTGCAAAGGATGTGGAACTCTGTGCCTCAGCTCACAGCAAACCCAGAAGCAATTTGGTCTCTGAGTCACCACTGGGTGTTCTGTTATGAGGCTGAATGCAAAGAGCTCCAGACAGAACTCTGGTGGTGTCTGCGTACCTGCACTGAATCACAGACTTTTGGCCTTTATTGCACACTCCCAATATTCGCAGTCCTAACAGCCACTCTCAGGTTCCATCAGAGCCACCAACCCCACGTTCCAGAAGATTTAAAAGCAAACAATTTATGATCCTCCACAGGCACCGGGCTGCTCCACACCTTTCTGCAATCACTGCTAGAAGATCAGCCATAGGGTTGTCAGCCCAGACTAAAAGGAACTGCTTTCCTACTGAGAACAACTTCCAACTGTGCCTCCAGTAGGTGCCTACCATAAGAATTTTTATATGAGTTTGAAGGCCACCTCTCCTCCCAGCTCGGATCCAGGAAAGCAATAACAGAAGGGTTACCACTGCTCTGCTCACCACTGCATTTTTTTCCATATTCATCCCATTAAACCCTTCATAAGGGAAGGAGGGAACAGAGCAGACAGTAAGAATACGGGCCTACTATCAGCAACGCTCGTCATCCCCTAGCTGCCAAGTCCTCAGTGTTCACCTGCACTGCTCACACACAGATAAAAACACGAGGGCTGGGGAAGTGCATGGCTTTATCTCTGTGTTGACTTTCAGTACTGCTAGTGGAGAAGTTGTTTCAGGAGTGTCCCAGCACCTGCATGCTGCACAAATCACAATCCTGAGCAGCACAGCACGATGCTCATCTGCCTTCCCTTTCCCCACAGTCCTTAAGACACGTCATGACTCTGTGTCTTGTTATGGGACTGACCCAAACAGTGTGGCTAGCAGCTAAAGCCAGCTCAGCAGAGACCATACTCCCATGTAACTCATGTCATCTCTGTTTCTTCTCCCCTGATCACACAGTGGACACGCTTCTCTGCATTGTAATACATCTGCCCACAGCGCAGACGTGGCTCCTCCTGCTGGTACCACAGCTGTTCATTGAACTCTGGGAAGAAGAAGGCAATTTCCCTGCTGGCTGACGCTGGGGAATCTGTAAGTAGAGAGGGAAGAGGTGAGATGCTAGCCTTGCACCTGAAACACACACTGTTTTAAAGGCAGAAGCTGCGGATGTAAAGCACCAGGCCTGGCTGCACGTGGAGTCTGCAGAAGCGAGCAAATTGTGAGCAGAAAGCAAAGGCAGACAAAAATAGCATCGTTCAGCCCCCACCGAGCTCCAGGCCCTGCCCAGCGCTCAGCCAAGAAGGCCTACCTGAACCATGGGTGGTATTCCTGGTGTCAGTGAGGCCATAAGCTCCTCGGATGGAGTCTGGGACACAGTTTCGAGCTCGGAACACTTTGGTGGGTCCCATCAGGGATCTCCAGAGGGAGATGGCATTCTCATGGGCCAAGATATAAGCCCACATGGGGCCACTGAAAAAGGGACCAGGAAAGAGTAAGGTTATAACAGGGTACAGCTTCTTCATTCTTATTCTTATGACAAGCTCACAGTAGACAGCGATAGCTTGAAAGCAAAGCATCTGCATGACCTCCATCTAGGTGATGGCACCCACAATACACTGGGATGCCATCCCACTCAGTCCTCTCTCATCACACAGGAGCTGTTCCATGACAAATGCCCACCCTTCAGCCCAAAGCCTTCACCCTCAGCACATCTCAAGCACAGGCTCCTGACAAGATGCATCCCCCGCTGAGGTGGAGCCCCCCAGATGTGGCTGTGCTGCTCAGGGTTCACCCCATCCCCTCCTTGTGCCTTGCACTGCCCACCATGTGGCACAGCAGATACCTGGCCATGAACTCCACCAGCCGCTGGTAGAAGAATCGCCCTGTGGGAGAGAAACAACCCTGAGTCACAGCACCCACCCAGCGTGCTCCCTGCCCACCCCCAGGAGAAGCAGCCTTCAGGGAATCAGAGAACGATGGGGGTCAAAAGAGACTTGCACACAGTCATTCTAACCCAGTGGTTTGGGTTAGAAGGGCTCTTCAAGGCCATCTGGTCCCACTCCCTGCAATAAGCAGGGACCCCCGCAGCTCCATCAGTGCTCACAGCCCCCTCCCCTGAGCGTGGGTGCCTGCAGGGATGGGCAGCAGCACCTCTCTGTGCAAGCTGTGCAGTGCCTCACCGCCCTCAGCATGAAGACCTGCTCCTTACACCCAGCCTCAGACTCCCTCTGTCAGTTAGCAACCACCTCCCCTCGTCCTGTCACACAGACCCCACTAAAGAGTCCATTCCCTCCTTTCCACAGCCCCTTCAGATACAGAAGGCTGTTGTGAGCTCTCCCTACAGCCTTCCTTTCTCCACCTGCACAGCCCCAGCTCTCACCCTATCCTCGCAGGAGAGCTGTTCCATCCCTAAGACCCTCTTGGTGGCCCTCCTCTGCACACAATGCAACGCCTCCATGTCCCTCCCGTGCTGAGCGCTCCCCATCTGGGCGCAGTGCTCCAGGCGAGGTGTCCCAGCACAGAGCAGAGCTGCAGATCCCCTCCTGCTGGCTGCGCTGCTCTGGATGCCCCCAGGGTGCAGTTGGCTCTCTGTGCTTTGAGGGCACAGCGCTGCCTCGTGCTGCTGCTCCCCACCAGCACCCCCAGGGCCTTTTCCTTCCCGCCCCGCAGCCCCGCACCGCTTACCCGCGTGCTCCCGGTAAAAGCGGCGGCTCTGTTCCCGCCCGCAGCGCAGCTCCTTGGCGCGCACGATGAGGAGGCGATTGCTGAGGATGATCTCATGCACGGCCTGTGGGCAGAGGTGCAGCGGCTGGGCGGGAGGCGCGCACCGCCAGGGCGTCCCGAGGGGGCCGAGCGGTGCGGGGCGGCCCGATCTGCCCTCACCTCCAGCACCAGCGGATGGGCGACGGCGTCCGGCTTCAGCAGCGCCAGCGTCAGCTGCAGGGGCCGCTTGGAACACGCCGCGGCCGCCATGACGCCCTCCTCTCACGTGGCGTCGTGCGGGTGATGACGTCACTCAGCGCGACGGCGCGCGGGCGATGACGTCGTCAGGGCGCGACGGCGCCGTGTGTGTCGCGTAGCAGCGGGGACGCAGCGGCGGAGCGATGGCGGAGGCAGCGGAGCAGCCCCGGGATGAGGCCCCGGTTGAGGCCGGCGCCGAGGAGGCCGTGAAGATCATCTGCCTGGGCGACAGCGCCGTGGGCAAGTCCAAGTGCGTGGCCGCGCGCGTTCCCCGGACGCCGGGCCGGGCCTGGCGGGGCTCCTGACGGCCGCGCTGTCTCTCCGCAGGCTGCTCGAGAGGTTCCTGCTGGACGGGTTGTATCCGCGGTTCCGGCCGCGCCCCTCAGGTGTCGGTGGGGCGGGCGGGAGGCGGGCGGCGGCGGCGGCGGCGGGGACGGTTCATCCGACGGCTCCTTAACGCGGGCGCAGCCGCCCTCAGCAGCTCTCCACCTTCGCCTTGACGCTGTACCGACACCAAGCGCGAGTGGACGGGAAGGCGGTGCTCGTGGGTAAGTGCGGAGCCCTGTCGGAAGTTCTGTCGGAAGGCAGGACGGCCGCGGTGCTGCCGGGACACAAAGCGCCGCGCGGGGGCTTCCCGGCGGTGGGCAGGGGGTGCCGCCCGGCGCTGTGTGGGCAGCGAAATGGAGGAATGAAGAGCAGCATCGCAGAGCCGTTTCATAGCCGGGCTGTGGCGTGCCGCTTGTTCTCCGCCCTGAAAAGAACAGGGGGAGAAAACGAGGTGAGAAAAGTCTATGGGTCGAGGTAAGGATGGGCAGATCGCTGCTGATTTTTGTCGTGGGCAAAGCACTACTTCCTGGGAGAAGAAATGAGGAAGAAATTCTTTACCGTGAGGGCTGCGAGACAAAGGAGCAGGTTGCCCCGTGAGGCTGTGGATGCCCCCTCCATGGAAGCATTGAAGGCCAGGCTGGGTGGGGCTGTGAGCAACCGGGGCTGGTGGGAGGTGTCCCTGCCTACAGCAGGGGGTTGGAATGAGATGGTCTGAAAGGTCCCTTCAAATCCAAACCATTCTATGAAGAGAACCTGAAGAGAACAAACGCCAACTCCCCATCATCTGCTTCTTTCTCCTGTAACCGACAGCGCAGGGGAGTGGGGGTTGTGGACATCCCGTGAGGATTTGTCTCTGCAGCTCCTTCAGCCTCGCTCTGTTCCTGCTGCAGCTTGGGGCAGCTGCCATGGGGTGCTGTTCTGCCCAGCCTGGTCCTGGTTTTGTGGTAACTCTTGTCCCCGGGATGTTTCAGATCAGTGAGATGAAACCTAACTTGTGGCGCTGAGTAGATGAGCTGGGGTTTGCATCCTGGGTTAAAGTTGTGAGGAAAACAGAAGTTGAGATGTTGTGTCATCCTGAATTTGTCAGGTTTTTTTTTTGTTTTTTTGTTTTTAATTTATCCTTTTATCTTACAGATTTCTGGGACACAGCTGGACAAGAGAGGTTCCAGAGCATGCATGCCTCCTATTACCACAAAGCTCACGCTTGTATCATGGTAAGGGTGATGTCCTAAGCTGCCCAGGGAGGCTGTGGATGCCCCATCCCTGCAGGCATTGGAGGCCAGGCTGGATGTGGCTCTGGGCAGCCTGGGCTGCTGGTTGGCGACCTGCACACAGCAGGGATTGGAACCAGATGAGCACTGTGTGCTTTTTCAACCCAGGCCATTCTGGAATTCTGTGATCTGGTGGGATTTTGGCTGATAAATCCCAGCTGATGTTTGGCCTGGATGTTACTTTTTGCAGTTACACTCTACTATATTTTTTTTTATCTCTTCCAGTTGTTTTACAGATTTTCCCACATTGTTCCTTCTTTTTTACCTGACAAAGCCAGTGTGGTTGGTGTGTTCTGCATAATTCTGCAGTGCTCTGACTGCATTCCCTGAGTTTGCTTTCTTGTCAATTTCCTTTCTTTCATCACTGCCCTTCCAGTAATGATGTGTTTATGACCAAATGCACCTCCTTGGAAGCGGTGCTGTCAGAAGGGATGTGGGGGAGAGGGCACTCTTTTCTCCTTCTGTGTCTGATGTGGCTGTTGAACTGTAGAGTACAGAACTGTCTTCAGGTGTTCTGCAAAGTGCTGCACTCACAGGATGAATTTGGGTTTGAGTTGGAAGGGACCTCAAGGCTCACAAAGCTGCAGCCCTGCAGCCACACGCAGGGCCACCAACCTCCGCATTGCACAGCAGCCCAGGCTGCCCAGGGCCCCATCCAACCTGGCCTCCAACGCCTCCAGGGATGAACGGGGCATCACAGCCTCTCTGGGCAGCTGTTCCAGCCCCTCACTGCTCTCACAGCACACAACTTCCCCCTGACATCCAACCTCCAGCTGCCCTCCTTATTTCCACGTGCTTTGAGCTTTTTTGTAACTCAAATGAGTGTTGTTTCCTGACTCCTGATCTACTTCAGTCTCTTGGTCTGTGTTGTTGCTCTAACTTTTCACTGCATCTTTATTGCTTGTATCTTTATCAGCCAACTCCGCTGATGCTTTAATGTAATTGTTACAATGGAGAATCCTCACATCTGACCCCACTGACAGCAGAACAGATCTGTCCCAGTGCTTTGGGTGCTAAGAATGTAAAGGCAAACGAGGGATCGTTGCTTGCATCAAGCAAAGACAAAGCCTGGCTGCGTTTTTCAGGGCTTGCTGGATGTTCTCCCTTTCCTCTGTCACGCTTTCTAACAAGCAGCAGCTTCCCATGACATCCTCCTGGCAGAATTCTGGGTTCTGCAGATGTGTTTGGTGCTGTGGGTTATCAGGAGCTGCCCTGTTGCACCTTTTGCTGGTTCTTTTTTGGAAGGTGTTTGATGTGCAGCGGAAAATCACCTACAGGAACCTGAACAACTGGTACAAGGAGCTGAGAGAATTTCGCCCGGAGATCCCTTGCATTGTGGTGGCCAATAAAATCGATGGTGAGTGTGTCTTCTTCTTGTAGCTCCTCAGGATTGTGAAGGTATTCTCTTCTTATCTGGTTGGGAAGGAATGTCATGCTTCTCTTGGGTCCAATACATCCTTGAGGATTAGTTCCTCGGGGCTGTATGTTACCAGATAAATAGCCAGGTCTGTGCAGGTTCATTTGGCTCAGTGGTGGAGCTTAGAGCGTGATTCATCTCACTAATGAGAGCCTTTCCTCCAGGCTGCATCAAGCACCACGAATGAAGCAACAAGAGCCTGTTCCTTTCTTTGTCTTCTTGTCAGCTGCCTGCTGATGCTGTCGCTTTTAAAGCCCTCTGGCTTTTGTGGAGGGTCCACATGGCTTTGTACTGCAAAGGGGAGGCCTTGAGAGCTGCTTTAGGTTCCTGTCTGCATCTGTTCCACCATCCCTGCATTTGTTGGCATTCTTTCACAGAAAGAATCACAGAATGGCCCAGGTTGGAAGCGACCTCAAGGATCACGAAGCTGCAGCCCTGCAGCCACACGCAGGGCCACCAACCTCTGCATTTCACAGCAGCCCAGGCTGCCCAGGGCCCCATCCAACCTCCAACACCTCCAGGGATGGACGGGGCATCGCAGCCTCTCTGGGCAGCTGTTCCAGCCCCCATCATTCTCACAGCACACAACTTCCCCCTGACATCCAACCTCCAGCTGCCCTCCCTCAGCTTCCAACCATTTCCCATTCTTTCTATACCAGTGCCTTACCGACTATTTCTCCATTTCATTTTTTCCCCTCAGCGGATATGAAGATGACCCAGAAAAGCTTCAGCTTTGCCCGGAAGTTCAGTTTGCCCTTTTACTTTGTGTCTGCTGCAGATGGCACCAATGTAGTGAAGGTAAAACGCAGCTGTTTGTCTCAGCCCTGTCCGTGGAGGGCTGTGAGCACGGAGTAGGAAATGGGGCAGTCCCTCTGACTATAAGCAGTTGTAGAGTTGGGGTTTTTTTTCCCCCATGGGAGCAGTTTTTGTACATTAAGGAGTCCCATCACTCTTTGCTTTGAGTGACAAAATGTTCTCTTTCTTGTCAGCTCTTCAACGATGCCATCAAGCTGGCGGTTACTTACAAACAGAATTCAGGAGATTTCATGGATGAGGTCATGCAAGAACTGGAGGTAAGAAAGGAGGAGAAGTGCAGGGAGTAGAACGTGAGGTGGTTAGCAGCTCTTCCCCCTGGGGAAAGCAGAGCCTGTACCAAAGGGTGAAAATCTCACAGGAACTGAAAGATTTGCCTTATGCTGACAGCGCCGGGTTTGGGTGCTGCTCATATGTAGGTGGGAAGGGGTGAGGTGGTGACCCTCTGAAGAACTTATGCTGCTTTTGCCTGGTTTTGAAAGCCGTAGCAGAGTGTAGCTGTTGTGCTCTTCAGCATTTTCTTGTCTCACTTCTTTACAGAGCTTTGACCTGGAGAAGACGAGTGAGAACGTGTCAGATCAGGAGGAGAGCTGCCCTGAAGAAAAGCCCCCATCCTCCTAAGGACCGCATTTGGAGTCCATCTTTTCTCTCTGCTCCAGGGGTTACAGGATCTCACCTCTGCAGGGGAAAGCGATTTTTCTCGTGCCCTGAGATCTCTGGTGATGGGGAGACTGGGCACCACCTCCCTTGGCTGGGCCCTGACTCCCTGTGCCTCGCAGTCGAGGCGGCAGCGCGAGCATCCATGTGCTTCTTCGAGACAAAGCTTGCTGGGAGAGCTGAGCCACTCGTGTACCTGCAGGGAAGGGTCCTGCCCAGAGACTTTAATGGTACCTACCACAGAAAATAGTTACTAAAGACTTTTTTTTTCATTAAAAGAAAAAAGGTTGGAGTCTTCTTGCAGTTTTGTTACGAGGCAGTTGAGTCGCTGCACAACGCGAGTCCAACCACCAGCCCTCCCCTTCCTTTCACAGCCCAGCCTCTGTGCACCCCTGTGAGTTTCTTTGCACCTCTTTGTAGAGTTCCTTTGAGTTTCCCTTCTCCATTCTGCCGTGGGCCAGACAGATCCAGTAGACCTCTAGGCATAAGGAATTGCTCCTTGTAGGTCCTCTGGAGCTTCATGGTGAGGTCGTATCCACAAGGTGTCTCCCAGCCCAGGCTGATGGATGTGGCTGCTGCTGTTCCCACGTGGTGACGTGCTGTGTGTCCCAGGTGCAGACAGACACACACCAGGACTCTGATGTGGATGGCAAAACACATCAAGATGGACAGAGTGCTTTCCTTGCATGAACATGTGACTGTGAATCCCTCTCCAGTTACTGGGACTGGTGGTCAGCAGCGACAAATAGATGCAGCTTTGCTCTCTAGGTTTGCAGAGCAAGTCTACAGATCCTTCAAATAACAGCGTAGAAATGGCATCCAGCTCATGTCTGGTGGCTGGGTGTCATGAGGTTCCTTGCACACTCACAGGGGCAGCCATTAGCTCTTCCCAGATTGGTTCTCCTGCCATTTGAGCTGGCTTGGCATTGAGTTGCCTGGTGCATTATAACCCCCCCACACCCACACCTCACCAGTAGCTGGCACTTGAGGGACACTTGATGTTGCAGCTGCTGTCGCTGAGACCTCTGCTCACCTACAACCTGTCCCATTGTGTCCCCTTCCCTGAGCAGGCGCCATTTCAGCCCTCGTGGGCCACTCTCTCCCTTTTTGTGGCCTGCAGTCTGTTGCTTTGCATTGCAGGGTGTGGAAGCCTTTGCCTGGCACAGATTGAACTGAGCAGAGACACGGGTAGCTGTGAAAATAAGCTTTATTTATCCAACCAAGTCAACTTCAGTGTTTGTGTGCAGTCAGAGGAGGATGGATGGGACAGAGCAGGGCTTTGGCACTTGGGGTGCCGTTGGGCATCATCCCAAAGAAAAGGATCGTGGTGCTTTGCAGCCTGCTGTGGGCCATGCAGCCAATTAAGCTTTCTTTCCTCTTAAACCCTGCAGGAGCTCCTGGAGCAGATTAAAGAAATCCAGGACTTTCTGGCGTGGAAATGGACACGGTCTAAATGGGCTCGAGTACGTTGGTTTGGGCCTCTGGTAGGAGGTTGAGGTATAGACTGGGTATGGTGTTGAAGTAGGCGTTTCTGCTGGAAGCAATCCCATCTGTACCAGGATCCAGTTGCGAAAGTACTGAGTGGAGGCATAGACTCCAGGCTGCTGTATCCTCCCACAGCCTTTCCCCCAGCTGGTCACACCAATGAGCCAGAAGTAGTCAGCAGTTTTATCTTTGCACATGAGAGGACCACCGCTGTCGCCCTGTGGTGGAGGAGAGAAGCCCAAAGTGTGACTGGGTGGCCACATCAGCAGCAGAGCTGGCTCCCCTCTCACAGCGCTCCCTAGAGCTACGTTCCCTGCACAGAAAAGCTTTGCTTGGGTTCCAGAGCCTAAAAAGTCTTCTGGAAGGGGACTGTGGGTCTGGAAGGTAGCCCTCCCTTCCTCCCTCATCTCTGTGCAGTGATCCAGGCTGTGGGGGAAAGGGGTTTTCCAGGATTGGGTCCAGACGTACAGGGCACCTGGGGGGCTCTCTGGGCAGAGTCCCAGGTGTATGGGGTACAGGGAGTCTGAGGAGCTGCAGATGGGAAGGGGAGGTGAGCTCTGATGGGCGCCCAGTGCTGGGAGGGTGGTTTGCAGGCAGAGCTGTGTGTCGGTGTGCAGCTCCTACCTGGCAGGTGTCGATGCCGCCCTGCGGGTAACCAGCACACACATTGTGGCTATGGACAGCCCCAGCATACCAGTGGCTGCTGTTGCAGAGGTTGAGGTCAATGAGCTGCACCTTGGCCTCCTGCAGGACACGGTACGGCTCCACGTATTCCTGTAGAGCTGTGAGCACAGAGCACAATTGGCACCGCCAGCTCCTGGCCCGTTATCCCATTTGTGGGTGAAGACCTTCCCTACATCTTGACTTTATGTCTCGAGATGCACCCACGTTTCCCTGCTTTGGGAAACGGGTCAGACCCACACCTCTCCATGGATACATCCCTATGGCGTCACTGGGTTTCTACCTGCCATCAGGGATGCTGTTTCAGCATTTCACTCTGGACACCCGTGCATTTTGTGTACTCACATCTCAGCCCCATGTGTCCCCAGCCACTGACGTAGCAGTCTGTGAGCTCTGACACTCGCAGCGAGGCGTCGGGCACGCAGGCCAGCTGGATGTAGTAGCTGCAGTGGACGGGTTGGTCCAATTCGAGCAGTGCAATGTCGTTAGCCATGGTGTTCCTGTGATAGTACTCATGTGGGATTACCCGCACCACGTTGCGCACGACCGCTTCGGGGCCCAGGCGTTTCAGATCGTGGCCACCGATAACCACGTGCCACGGGGTGTCAGGGCTGGAAGAAGGGCAGAGGAAAGGTCAGAAGAAACGTGGCAACATCACTATCACAGAATGGTTTGGGTTGGAAGGGACCTCAAGGATCACGAAGCTCCAACCCCCCACCAATGCAGGGCCACCAACCTCTGCATTGCACAGCAGCCCAGGCTGCCCAGGGCCCCATCCAACCTGGCCTCCAACACCTCCAGGGATGGACGGGGCATCGCAGCCCCTCTGGGCAGCTGTTCCAGCCCCTCCCCGCTCTCACAGCACACAACTTCCCCCTGACATCCAACCTCCAGCTGCCCTCCCTCGACTTCAAACCATTTCTCCAGTTCCCTGCTATCTCTACTATGCAGGAGGGAGGAAAGCTGTCCTACAAGGGCTGTGACATCCCAGGCGTGCCTTGGGCATGAGGCTTACTGAGCTAAGGGCTGCTGGAAGCTGTGGCACGCACCACCAGGAAGGCACCCAGGACTGCCCGCACTGTTTGTAAGGCAGGGAAGGGGACGGCCCTTACGTTGCGTGGTCGAAGCAGTGCGCCGCTGTGAGGACCCACTGCGGCGTAATCAGGGATCCTCCGCATATGTGTCCGGTGCCGACATACCATGTGCTCTGCAAGCTAACGATCCACGGCCAGGCCCCCTGTGGGGCATCAGTGCCGCCCACGACGCGCGTTCCCCCGTACTGATAAGCCAGGGGCCGGAGCCCGCAGGTGCTGCAAGGAGAAACACGTCAGGTTTTGCATCTGAACCGCCGTCCCTCCCCACGGGGCGCCGCCGGCCACTCACTCGCAGCTGCCGGAGAAGCTGTGCGCCGGCCGGCAGGCGGCCACGAGGAGCAGCAGGAGCAGCAGCATCGCTCCCGACGTCTCACGGCAGCCCATCGCGTCAGGCTTCACCGCCAACGACGCAGCGCTGCCCGTTGTCCGCGGCGCTGATGTCACAGAACCGTCGGTTCCGAGGGCTGTGCCACCGCGTGGGGCTGCGCGGGGGGGTCGGGCAGCAGCTGGGAGGGACCCCCGGCTGCTCTACGGCCGGTACGGATGGATGCGGAGCCGCACAGCTGAGTGCGCAACCCGGTGTTGTGAACGACAGCAGCGCAAATTTCAGCCTCTGTCCCAAACAGCCTCGAGGCACCACGCGCACCAGAAGCGGCTCTCAAACAAACCTTGCTGTGGTTTTGTCACCCTGTGCCCCAGATCTGCTTAGGGTGCACAGAATGCCTCGGAGGGCACTTTGCCTGCTGTGGGTACCCAGCTGTCCCCTTAGCGCTGTGGTGGGACGGATGAATGGCCCCACAGGGCTGGGTGTCTTTTATGGAGACAGGAATGGAGCAGGGCCGGCAGCACTGAGGAAACTCAGTCATGGCCCAGATGCACACGATGCCCTCAGCAAACAGCACCAATCAATGCAGCAAAACCCCAGAGCAGTGGGGAAAAGTTAACTGGGGAAGGGAATTGCTTATGTGGGAGGAGGCAAGCAAGATGAGTAAGTATTGAAAACAAAGGGGCAACATGGAGGCCAATACAGAAATCACGTATAAGCGAACTGCACGTTGATTTGGTTGTTTTATTGAGCCCTGCATCCAATCACGGTAATCCACCTTCATATTTTGTTAAGAATTATTCTACACAGAGCTCCAGAGCTGTGGGAGTGGATGGGACCTCTGGAGTCCTCCAGTCCAAGCCCAGGCATCACTGAGCAGCCCCTGCCATCAGATATCCATCAGCACTGCTCAGATCCCCCCTCAGCGTCCCCTTCCAGTGTTCCCAGCCTGTCCCCATCAGGAGGGGCTCCAGGCCCAACCCACCAGTTGGAAACCCCAAATGCCAAGGACCCCAAATGCAATGTGGGATTGCTGTGCGTGTCATTGCTAATGAACGCCAATTAGCTCATGAGCAAGAGATCATTTTTGTCCTGTGGATGGAAAGTGAGCACAGCCCACCCGACTGCAGGCAGCTCCAGCATCCACAGACCTTACAGAAAGATCAGGCCAGCCACATCTCCACCTTATTTAGAAGGACAGGGAAGTGGTGACAGGATGAGGGGAAATGGCCTCGAGTTGTGCCAGGGGGGGTTTAGGTTGGATCTCAGGAAAAACTTCTGTACAGAAAGGGCTGTTAAGCAGTGGGATGGGCTGCCAGGGAGGTGGTTGAGCCACCATCCCTGGATGTGTTTAAAAACCATCTGGATGCGGTGCTCAAGGACACGATTTAGCAGAGGGCTGTTAGAGTTGGGGTGGGATGGTTGGGTTGGGGTTGGACTCGATGATCTTTAAGGTCTTTTCCAACCTGAGCAATCCTATGATTGACTGGCATGTCCTCTCTGCACTAGCTGTACGAAGCTCCATCCCTAAAGCTGTCAGGACCATCCAAGCCCATCCTGCTCTTTGCTTTGTTCCCATCCCCTGCAAAGTGACTCTGCTGCAGCTCACACTGCCCTCACAAGGGTTGCACAGCACGCCTCCTGCCGAACTGGGATCTCCAGACACCGGGGCATACCTGTGCTTCATCTTAACTGTGGTTTGAAAGGGGCTGTGCTGGCTCTGCTGATGATTCTGGCTCCTGGTCCCTCAGAATTTCTGTTAACAGATCACAGCTTGGAGGTCCAACAACGACCTGCACAGCCAGCAGGGCTGGTGGCCTGCCCAACCCTCAGCTCACCGGGCAGCACTCCCTCAGTCAGCAGCATCACTGAGCCGAAGCTCTGGGGTAGCACTGAGGCTACATGTGGTTAGTTGGGAGGGTCTGGTGGGTTTAGGATCAGCAGAGGAGGGTGGAGCAGCAAAAGGCTACGAGCAGCAGCAGCAGGAGGGCTTGGGAGTGCAGTCTGGCTTGCAGCAGGGTTCCAGGGCAGGATCCCCACCCTTCTTCATCTGGCTTTCCCCAAACTCCATGCGTTGCTCAAAAAGTGTCTTCTGCACTTTGATGTCCTTCAGGATTTGCCAAACTTCTGGCCCTGCAGCGCTCTGTACCAAATTGTAGTTCTCAGCAGGGTCTGATTCCAGGTCAAAGAGCAGCGGGGGCTCATGATGGGTCAGCGGGGTCAGCCCGTGGCAGGCCTGGTCTGGGGTTGTGTCACTGTGAAAGGAACCTGCAAAAGAAATGTCCAAGAGCAGCTCAGCTGCTACTCTGAGCTCGGGACAGAAGAACCAGGCAGGACTTCACAGAGCTCCCCGAGCAGAGAGGAGGTGGCACCAACCTTGTGTGAAGTAGTGGGCCTTGTACTTCCCGAGCCGGACAGCAAAGGGGCCATGCAGTGGATCAGGGGATGGAGGGTAGAAGAACATGGTCTGACGGGGACTCTGTGGAGAGGAGCAGAGCTGAGCTCACCTGTGTGGCCATGAGGCTGGAAAAGAGCCTGGGACAGGACCAGGCAGAGACTCCAGGGACTCAGAAAAGAGCCCTGATACTACGGCCAGGATACGGCTAGAAAAAGGGGAAGCAAACGAGCAGGAACATCGTGCTTGTTCCCCACTCAAAGCTCCTGGGCCTCAGAGCAGACAGGGGAAGGCCAGTAAGCCCACTGCATGGCCCAGACCCTATAAAAGATCCCAGGTTGTAGGTCTGCCCCTAGCTGGGCCTAATGACCAGCCTCCATGTACCACGCCAGCTTTGACCTGCAGGACTCACCTTCCCTGACCCAAACAGCAGTGGACTCAGGTCATAACCATCCAGGGAAACGTTGGGAAGAGCTGCTCCAGCCAGGGCACTCAGTGTTGGCAGGATGTCCAAGGTGCTTGCCAGCTCATGAGTCACTCCTGCCACCCAACATAGCAAGATACAAAGGTTCAAGAGTCCAACCCCACTTCCATACCTGCCACCCTCCCCACCTCCCTCTCTCTGATCATCTCAGGGCTACAGAGTCACCACCACACCCCTGCCTTGCCTTGTGCCAGCACACAAAAGGCATAAGCAGTGCTGAGTCTCACCTGGAGCGATATGGCCTGGCCAATAGGCCACTGCTGGTTCCCTCATGCCACCTTCATACGTTGTGCCCTTCCCACATTTCAGAAGGCCAGAGCTGCCTCCGCGTGCCATCCGCATGGTGGAAGGGCTGTGAGAGAAGAACCACCTCCCATCAGCTCCACAAGTCTGCATAACCCCTTCCCCGACCCCCACAGGGGCCATGGAAAAGGACAGTGAGTAGCACCAGAGACCCAAACCACCCCATACACAAAGGGAACTCGTGGATCTTTAGCCTGCACAGTGCTGCCCCAGAGCCAGTGGGCACTTTGCCCACGAGGGGAACAGCTGATTGACTGGAGCAAGGAGGAGATCATGCAACAGATGCTCACCTTAACAGCACCCACCTTCAGGTCACTGCAATCTCACCTGGCACTGCTGCACCGCGTCTCTTGTGCCCCACTTCCCCCACACCACAGCAGTACGACCTTATGAGCAGGAGAAGCCGCCCAGCTGAGCTCACTCACCCGTTGTCAGAGGTGAAAAACACAAAGGTTGTGTTCTCCAGGCCATTCTCCTGCAGTGCCTGCAGCAGCTGCCCCACTGAGCCGTCAAACTCCGAAAGCGCATCACCAAACGGCCCACGCTCTGACTGCCCTGCATAGTGCTGGCTTGCAAACTGGGGATGGTGGGTATGCTGCAAAAAAAAGGCAGAGAGAGATGCTTTGCAAAGTCCTAGAGTTGCATTTGGTTCTCAGCTCACCCGGGGAGAGTGAGAACCCCGGCGAGGGCATGGAGATGTGTGACCATGCCCACAGCAATGCTTCCAGAAACACCTCCCAGAATGACACAAAAAGGCTGGGCTCCATGCAGAACACGGAGACTCGGTGAGTGGTAGAGCCCCAGGTGGGCTGCTGGCCTGTGGAAATGGCCAGAAAGAAGCCAATCAAGAATAAGAACCCTAACAGTGCTGCCACAAACCCTAGGCGTGGGAACACCAACCCCAAGTCACGTCGGGGCAGGGAGTTCTCCCATCCTTCATCCAAGTATTGACTGCCCAGCACACTCCAATGGCTGCAGGACCTGAGGTGCTTTCTGCAATCTCCAGCAGGACAAAGGCTTCCCCCCCACCCTCAGACCCGGAGAAATCCCCTCTCTCTTACATGGGAGGCATAGTAGAGCAGGAAGGGCACACCTCGCCGGGCGCAGTCGGCAATGAAGTCCCGTGCAAATTTGTTGTAGAGAGGCACCAGATCAGGGAAGGAGACCGGCTGCTGCACGATGCTTTGGTTCCAGAGCAGTGGGACGGGCACGAGGCCTTGGTCACAGGTCCCGAAACACTTGATGTCGGGTGGGAAGCAGGTGAGATTCTGACAGGGGCCCTGGAGAGAGCACACAACACGGTCTTCCAGCTGTGTTGCAGGACAGTGAGTTGAGGGGGGGCAGGAGACTCACAGCAGCTCACCCCCAGGTCCTACAGGAGTCCCTTCTAGAAACCCGGGGGGGTTTATGCCCACCCCAGAACCATGCTATGCTTTCTCCTAACAGCAGTTCAGATGTTTCTTTGCAACCCAGAAGCCGACTTTCCCTCCTGCAACCCACCGAGGGGTGCACGTCCCCACAAACAACCGCTGCCCACGTCCTGCAAACCATTCTTATTGCATGAGCACCTTGGAAAGGCACTTTTCCCCCCCAGCCCCCATTTTCTCCTCCAGCTTGCAGCCACCCACACCTGCACAGCCCCCCACTCTAGGGCACTCCCCCACCTTCCCTCCTCCTCACCTGGTCGTGGGAGTACGGCACCCCCAGGAAGTGGTCAAAGCCCTGGTGGGTGGGCAGGAAGGAGCCACGAGCGCCCAGGCCGAGGTGCCATTTGCCAATTATGGCCGTGGCATAACCTTTAGCCTTCAGCACCTCTGCAATGGTGACCTCAGACAGGGGAAGGCCTCCCCGGGAGTCAGGGTAAAACACACCAGGGTAAATCCCAGAGCGCATCTGGAAGCGGCCGGTCAGCAGGGCAGCCCTGCAGGGGGGGGAAGGACAGCATTCACACGGTGCTGCACCAGCCAGGTGTTAACTGCCTTAACTGTGCAGCTAGGGAAGAATAACTGCAAGTAGCAACAGGAGCTATGGGAAAGAAGCGCTGCAGACAAGGATGTAAGGGTCCTGGTGGCCAACAGCTAGCCACTGCTAGACCATAAGGTGACCATGAGACAGCAGAGTGCCCTGGTGGTCCATAAGGTCAATGGGAGCCTGAGGTGTGCTGCACAGAGTGCTGCCAGCAGGGCAGGGAGGTGCTCCTCCCCTCCTCTGTGCCCTGAGGGGGCACAGCTGGAGCACTGAGATCAGTGTGGGGCTCTCAGTGTGGGGCTCTCTCTAGCAGTTCCCATTCTGCCTGGAACTGGAGAGCCCCAGGGAGGATGCAGAGATGGGGGGAAGGGCCTGGAGCACTTCCTGGTGGAGACAGGCTGAGCCCCCCTGGGCTGCGCACCTGGGGAATGGAACACCGAGGCAGGATCTGTGCAGTGCTGATGGATATCTGATGGGCAGCCAGCAGGGAGATGGGGCTGAGCTCTATTCAGTGGTGCCCAATGACAGGACAAGGACACAGAATGGAGCCCGGAGAGCTCCGTGTGACTGTGAGGGAGAACTTTATGCTGAGGGGGTGGCTGAGCCCCAGCACCGCTGCCCACAGAGTTGGGGGATCCCCTCTGCAGGGATCCAAACCAAACTGGACGCTCTGTGAGCAGCTGCTGGGGGGCCGGATGGAGGGACTCCGGCGGTCCCTTCCAGCCCCACAGCTCCGAGGCTCTGCACCCAGCAGCCCACACCGCGGCTCCCTCACTCCCTGTTCCCGCTGCCATCCCTCCACCGCTGTCCCCAGGGCCGCGCTCAGAGCGCAGCCGAGCCGCAGCTCTCCCCCACCGCGGGCCGCACCGGGAGGGGCTGCACACCGCAGAGCTGCTGTAGAAATCGGTGAAGCGCAGCCCTCGGGCCGCCATCCGGTCCAGGTGGGGCGTGGCGGAGGAGGGGTGCCCGTAACTCCCCAGGTCTCCGAAGCCCAAATCATCCGCCAGCAGCAGCACGAAGTTGGGCAGGCCGCCGGCCGCGCCCCGCAGCGCCCACAGCAGCAGCACCGCCAGCAGCGGAACGGCGCACCGCTCCGCCATGATGCTCCGGCGGTCACCTGACCGTCACGTGACACGGCCGAGTCACGTGACCCTGCCCCGCCGCAGGGCGCGCCGTGAGGCGCGGTCCGCCGAGGAATAGCGCCGCCACGCGGTGGCCTCCCGCACCTTCAGCCCCGGCCCCCGAGGGGGGGGAAGCGCATCCTGGGGGTCGGGGTGCTGCGGTCAGAACGTGGAAGAACCAATGCAAACAGCAGCACTTCTGTGGTGGGAGTTCCGCACCTGGGAATACGGCTGTGCCCGCCTCTGAGAAGTGCAGACAGCTCACGTGGCGGGCATTAAAGGATTGAGGGTCCGGTGTCCCCACGACCATCATTTTGTGTCTCCAGGATGAGCCTAAATGCAGAGCAGAGGTGGTGTGCGAGCTGCTGGTGGGCCGGGGTTAAACCTGCAGCAGGCAGAGGTGGGGACTTCCAGCCCAAGGACAAAGCAGGGCTAAAAGCAGCCGAGGTTCTGGTCTGCAAGCTCCCATGTGGATGCACCGTGTTTCAGATTTGCTCCACGCCTTTCTGTGTGCCTCATCCTGTGCTTCCTAAAGGCCCCTGGCACCGGGGGCTGCTGGAGCTGCTGCTGCTGCTGTGCTCACTGCCATCAATTATTGAGGCAGAGCGAGGGGTTGATGCTGCAGCGGGAGGCAAAACTGCTGCATAATTCATGTAGCCTACTTGGATCCCAGGGCATCGAAGTGCTGGGCCACAGTGCCTGGCCACAGCAGGGGATGGCAGCCAGGATGAACAGCTGGGACTCTGGGAGGGCACAATATGGGGACAGAGCTTCAGGGACTCCACGTGGAGCAGGGAAGGAGGAGTGAGCCCTGGTGTGCTGTTGTATGGAGCCAAGCAGGGCACAGTGCTGCGCCAGCAGAGTAGGGACAGGACGTGTCCACATGGACAGGTCTGAAAGGGGAGGCCCAAATGACAGCTGCAGTGCTGTGGGATCCCACTTTGGCAGGCTCTGGTGGGAGCTGCGACCATGGAAGTGGATCACAGGCGTGTTTCCCTCACCTGGTATTGGAGTGCAGCCCCACGGAACGTTGCACGTCTGCATGCACCACTTTGGGTGCAGACTGGCTGTGCAGACTGGCTGTGCATGCACTGTGTGTGCATATGTGCACTCTGTGCTGAGGATAACGCTGTGAGCGCTGTGTTCTGTTCCAAGATGTGTGTTTCACAATATGTGCACGCAGCCAGGTGTGCATTGCAGCTCTTCTGTGTGCACGCCAGGTGTCTCCACACTGCGTGCTTGCACACATGTGCTGTGTGAGTACAGTGTGTGCACGTGCTCTGTGTGCACGCGCTGAGCTCACAGCATCCACCCCAGTTTCCTCCCACAGAGTTTCTTTCTCCTTTCATAACAGCTGGAGCTGACTTGGGAGGACTCTGCTTCCCGGAATGTTGCTTTCATTTCAGTCCAGTGGATGTGGCAGCTCCTCTTCCCCTGTGCCAGACACTGCATGTGCCAGGGAGTCAGGCCATACTCGAAACCACACACATGAACTCCATGGTCATGAATGGCAAAAGCAGTGAACAAAAAGCAGCACCTTTACAGCACCCTCGTGGTACAGAAAGCACAACAACCCTGTCCTTTGCTGCCTCTCCAGTCACTGGGAGTGCTGTATGATGCACACCCAGCTCCCTCCTCCCTGAGCAGGCACCATTTCAGCCCTCATGGACCACTCTCCCCCTTTTTGTGGCCTGCAGTCTGCACGCAGCTTCGCTTTGCAGCGCTGGGTATGGAAGCCTTTGCCTGGCACAGGAGATTGAACTGAGCAGAGACACGGGTAGCTGTGGAAATAAGCTTTATTTATCCAACCAAGTCAACTTCAGTGTTTGTGTGCAGTCAGAGGAGGATGGATGGGACAGAGCAGGGCTTTGGCACTTTGGGGTGCCCCAAAGAAAAGGGTCGTGGTGCTTTGCAGCCTGCTGTGGGTCATGCAGCCAATTAAGCCTTGCTTCCCCAAAGGGTCTGCAGGAGGTTCTGCACTCCAGTAAAGAATTCCCTAAGCTTTTGGACTGGATATGGACAGGCGTCTGACACGCTCGGTTGTGTTGGCACTGCATTTGTCCCGTGATAATAGGCTGAGGTGGTCATGAAATGACTCCATGTCCGCGACGTCGGGTGGGCTGCTGCTCTCATCTGTAGCAGGATCCAGTTGTAAAAGTGCTGAGTGGAGGTGTAGATTCCAGGGCGAAACGCTCTGCCGCAGCCTTTCCCCCAGCTGGTCACACCAACCAGCCAGAAATAGTCAGCATGGTTGTCTCTGCACATCAGAGGGCCGCCGCTGTCGCCCTGCAGTGGGGGAGAGAAGCCCAAAGTGTTGCTGGGGGGTGGTTTGCAGGCAGAGCACGGCTGTGTGTCGGTGTGCAGCTCCTACCTGGCAGGTGTCGATGCCGCCCTGCGGGTAACCAGCACACAGATTGTGGGTATGGAGCACCCCGGCGTACCAGTGGCTGCTGTTGCAGAGGTTGAGGTCGAGGAGGTGGACCTTGGCCTCCTGCAGGACCTCGGCGGTTTGGGTGGGTGCTGCAGCTGTGAGCACAGAGCACAATTGGCACCGTCAGCTCCTTGCCTGTTTGTGGGCGAAACCCCTTCCCGAAGTCTTGGCTTTGTGTTTCCAAACGGGTCGGCCCCATCCCTCTCTATGGATGCAGCCCCACGGCGTCACCCTGGGTTTCGTTTTAAGCTTTAATCCGGGACACCCATGCATTTTGTGTACTCACATCTCATCCCCATGTGTCCCCAGCCACTGACGTAGCAGTCTGTGAGCTCTGACACTCGCAGCGAGGGGTCGGGCACGCAGGCCAGCTGGATGTAGTAGCTGCAGTGGACGGGTCGATCCAACTCGAGCAGCGCAATGTCGTTGATCATTGTCTTGTTGTTGAAGTATTCGTGAAGTATCGCCCTCCTGATGGTGTGCACCTCCACCTCCTGGCCCAGGTGAGTCAAATCGTTGGCGCCGATCACCACGCGCGACTCCAGGATGTAGCTGAGATGGAGAGGGAGGTGAGGAGGAGCAGAGCCGTGGGGGAGAGAGGAGGGCAGTGTTACAGGGGCTGTGAAGTGGCTGGGGTGCCTTGGGGCCGTGGGACTTGCGATGCCACGCTGGCTGTAAGGCAGGGAAGGGGACAACCCTTACTTGGGGCGGCCGAAGCAGTGCGCTGCTGAGAGCACCCACTGTGGGGTGATGAGGGATCCACCACACATGTGACCAGTGCCTGCAAACCGGGGGTTCTGGATGCTGACGATCCACGGCCACGATCCATGCAGGGCTTCCGTGCCTCCCACAACCCGCATATTGTTATAATGATAAGCCACGGGCCGGAGCCCGCAGGTGCTGCAAGGAGAAACGCGTCAGGTTTTGCATCTGAACCGCCGTCCCTCCCCACGGGGCGCCGCCGGCCACTCACTCGCAGCTGCCGGAGAAGCTGTGCGCCGGCCGGCAGGCGGCCACGAGGAGCAGCAGGAGCAGCAGCATCGCTCCCGACGTCTCACGGCAGCCCATCGCGTCAGGCTTCACCGCCAACGACGCAGCGCTGCCCGTTGTCCGCGGCGCTGATGTCACAGAACCGTCGGTTCCGAGGGCTGTGCCACCGCGTGGGGCTGCGCGGGGGGGTCGGGCAGCAGCTACTGGTGGGGGGGGGGGGGGGAGAGGGGGAAGAACCCTACACACAGCTGGAGGAACACGGTCAGATGAGCAGCGATGTGCAAACGCAAGTCCCCAAGTGTCTGTTGTGGGGTGCACGGCTGTGTCACTGTGCCTGTCTGTGCTCTGAGTGTGCCCACAGCGGCTGTGCATGCAGGCAGGGGTTGGGAGTGCTCTGCATCTGCGTGCACACGTTGTGGATGTGCACCTCACACAGCTGCAGTTGGACACAGAATCACAGAATGGCCCACGTTGGAAGGGACCTCAAGGGTCACGAAGCTGCAGCCCTGCAGCCACACGCAGGGCCACCAACCTTCATATCTCACAGCAGCCCAGGCTGCCCAGGGCCCCATCCAACCTGGCCTCCAACACCTCCAGGGATGGACGGGGCATCACAGCCTCTCTGGGCAGCTGTTCCAGCCCCTCCCCGCTCTCACAGCACACAACTTCCCCCTGACATCCAACCTCCAGCTGCCCTCCCTCAGCTTCCAGCCGTTTCCCCTCGTCCTGCTGCCATCTCCCCTTGCCAGGAGTTGATTCCCGTCCTGTCTGCAGGCTCCCTTCAGCTCCTGCAGGCTGCACTGAGCTCACCCCTCAGCCTTCTCTTTTCCATGCTGAACGAGCCCAGCTCCCTCAGCCTGTCTTCATAGGGAAGGTGCTGCAGCCCCCTGATCATCTTCGTGGCTCTTCTGGGCCCTTTCCAACAGCCCCCTATCTTTCTTGCACTGGAGGCTCCGCAGTGTGCATGCACACACACACACACGTGCAGCCTGCAGAGCTGCACGTGGGCTGAGCACACACTGATGCACTTCTATTGCACTCTGACACGTGCAAACTGCACGGTGACACAATCTGCACACTGGTGGGCACTGAGTGCACACCAACACACACTGAGTGCACACTGACACAGCAGTGGAGTCTGCTCACCAGTGCATACAGAATGCACACCAACACGCACTGCACACCAACACACACTCAGTGCACACCACTGCTCAACGACTGCACACCAACGAACACAATCTGCACATTCGAAGCACTGACTGCATGCTGACACTCACTAATTGCACACCGGTGCACACTGAGCAAGCAGTGGCACACAGTGACTGCACACCGACTCACTAATTGCACACCAGAGAATCAGAGCTGTTTGGGTTGGAAGGAACCTTCAAGATCGCGGACTCATGGAGTGGTTTGTGTTGGAAGGGACCTTCAACAGAATCACAGGATGGTTTGAGTTGGAAGGGACCTTCAAGGTCATAGAATCATGGAATAGTTTGGGTTGGAAAGGACCTTCAAGGTCACAGAATCATGGAGTGGTTTGTGTTAGAAGGGACCTTCAAGATCATGGAATCATGGG